CAAGACCCAGCAATACCACTTTTGGGTATATACCCAAAGGATGCTCAATTGTACCATAATGACATGTGCTCAACTATGTTTGTAGCAGCATTGTTTGTCATAGCCAGAACCTGGGAAGAACCTAAATGCCCCTCTATCAAAGAATGGATAAGGAAAATGTGGTATATTTACACAAACAGCAGGAAAAATAATGTCATCTTGAAATTTGAGGGTATATATATAGATCTAGAAAACATCATATTGAGTGAGGTAATCCAGAACCAGAAAGACAAATATCATAAGCACTCACTCATAAGTGGCTTTTAGATATAAAACAAAGAAAAAGCAGCCTACGATTTACAATCCTAGAGAACCTGGACAACAGTGAGGACCCTAAGAGAGGCATACATAGATGTAATTGACATGGGAAGTACAAAAAAAACAAGATCTCCTGAGTAAATTGGGAGCATGGGAACGATGGGAAAGGGTAGAAGGAGAGGGGAGAGAAGGGAAGGGATTGAAGAATAACATATAGCTCAACAAAAACAATAAAAAATAAAGAATGCAAAGATCCACATCTATTCCATGCATAAATCTCAAGTTCAAATGGATCAAATATCTTAATATAAATCCAGCAACACTGAACCTAACAGAAGAGAAATTAGGAAGTAGCCTTGAACGCATTGGCACAAGAGACCACTTCCTGAATATAACACCAGTAGCACAGACACTGAGATGGACAATTAATAAATACGACTTCCTGAAACTGAGAAGCTTCTGTAAGGCAAAGGACACAGTCAACAAGACCAAACAGCAACTTACAGAATTGTAAAAAAATCTTCACCAACCCCACTTGAGATAGAGGACTGAACTCCAAAATATACAAAGAACTCAAGAAACTAGATATCAAAATATCAACTAACCCAATTAAAAATGGGGTACAGATCTAAACAGAGAATTCTCAATAGAGAAATCTCTAATGGCCAGAAGGCACTTAAGGAATTGCTCAACATCCTTAGTCATCAGGGAAATGCAAAGCAAAATGACTCTGAGATACCATCTTACAGCAGTCAAAATGGCTAAGATCAAAAACACTAATGACAGCTTATGCTGGAGAGGACGCAGAGTAAGAGGAACATTCCTCCATTGCTGGTGGAAGTGCAAACATGTACAACCACAAACATGTACTTTGGAAATCAGTGTGATCTTTTCTTAAAGAATTGAGAATCAATTTACTTCAAGAGGGAGTAATACCACTCTTGGGTATATACCCATAGGATGCATACCCATACCACAAAGACATTTGTTCAACTATGTTCACAGCAACATTATTTGTAATAGTCAGAACCTGGAATCAACTGCGATGCCCCTCAACTGAAGAAGAGATAATGAAAATGTGGTACATTTACACAATGGAGTACTACTCAGTAGTGAAAAACAACATCTAGAAATCTTCAGGCAAATGAATGGATCTAGAAAAAAAAACATCCTCAGTGAGGTAACCCAGACACAGAAAAACAAACATGGTTTGTACTCACTCCTAAGTAGATATTAGACATAAAGCAATGGATAACCAGCCTACAGTCCACAACCCCAGCAAAGCCAAGAAATAAGGAAAACCCTAAGAGAAACATACAAGGATCCCCCAAGGAAGGTGAAGTAGTCAAGTTCTGCATAGTCAATTGGCAGCGTAGCAGTAGGGTGGCAGGGGCATGGTGGAGCGGAGAAGGGGGAGTAGGGAGGAGAACATGAGGGATCAGGAAGATCAAGTTGGGTAAAAGACAGAGATAGAGAGCAAGGAAAGCGATACCTTGAAAGACGGAGCCATTGTGCAGTTAGCAAGAAACCAGGCATTAGGGAAACTAAGGAACCTCATTAGGGAAACATTAGGAAAACCAAGAAAACCACAAGGATGACACCAGTTAAGAATCTAATCAATAGTGGATAGGATACCTAAACTGCCCTTCCCCTGTAATCATGTTGATGTCTACTTTAATTGTCATCATAGAACCATTATAGAGGAACTGATGGATGCACATGCATAGACCCACAGATAAGCACTGGACCAAATTCCTGGAGTCTAGTCATAGAGAGGGAGGAGCAATATTATGAGCAAAAGCTCAAGAATATGATGGGAATACCCTCAGAAACAGCTGACATGACCTAAAAGAAGCTCATTGACTCAAGACTGACAGCTAGGAACCCAGAATAAGACTGAACTAGGTCTACTGAATGTAGGTGACAGTTGTGTGGCATGGGCAGTTTGTGGGGCCATTAGCAGTAGAACCAGTATTTATCTCTAGTGCTTGAACTAGCTCTTTGGAGCTCATTCTCTATGGAGGTATATCTTGTTCAGCCTACATACAGGGAGGAGGGTCTTGGTACTGCCTCAAGTGATGTGATAGACTTTGTTGACTATTCATAGGAGGCTTCCCTCTGAGAAGTGGATGGGGGTAGGGTTACGAGAAGGTAGTGGGAGTGGAGGATAGGAGAAAGAGGGAACTGGGATTGCTATGTATAATAAGATTGTGTTAAAAATAAAAAAACGTTGGCTGGGGAGTGGTGGTGCACGCCTTTAATCCCAGTACTCAAGACGCAGAGGCAGGCAGATCTCTGTGAATTCGAGACCAACCTGGTCTACAAGAGCTAGTTCCAGGATAGGCTCCAAAGCTACAGAGAAACTCTGTCTTGAAAAAACAAAAACAAACAAACAAACAAACAAAACAAAAGTTATAAAAAGAGAAAGATATTAGGAAATTTTGTAAAATATCATGCTTAAAGAATATCTCAGTCTAGAGAGTAGACAAAGTTAAGATAACATTTCCAGTCTATATATGGATTACACAGAAACTGTAGAGAAAAGGAAGGTGAAAAATATAAGTTTCTTGAGAAAGTAAAGTTCAGTAAAAGTCAGGTAAATTGAAAAGATAAGAACAGACACAGAATCAATAAATTAAAAAAAATGACTGCAAAACAACTCTGAATTCCACAGGGCAAAAAGTGAAAGGATGGCAAGTTGTGAGTTTATGCTGATATGGTTACCAGGGACTTGATCAGTAAAGACTAGGAATTTACCCTGTAAGGCATGGGGTGAAACTTAAGGTTTTTAAACAAAGAAATGGCCTTATTTTACTTGTATTATGAAAGCAGTAAGGAGAGTGTACCAAAGAGAGAAGAGGTGTGGGGAGACATTTCAGATGGTAAAGTGCTTGGAGTACAGGCATCGGGATCCGAATTGGGATACCCAGTACCCATATACAATGACAAACTTGATGATATGTCTCTGTGTTCCTAGCAATGAGAAAGCAGAGGGGTGAATCCTTTGAGCTCACAGATAAGCAAGCCCAGCTGAATCTGTGAGCATCAGATACAATAAGAGACCCTGTTTCAAAATACAATGTTGAAAAGGACTGAGGAAGACACTGGAAGTTGACAAATGGTGCACACACATGCATGCATTGTGTCACACTCAGATAGGTGGGTAGATAGATAGATAGATAGATAGATAGATAGATAGATAGATAGATAGACAGATAGATAGATTGATTGATAGATTGATTATAGATAAATATAAGCAGATAGACAGACAAACAGACAGACAATATAAATACTGAAAAGCAAGGAAGCTGTTATACCAATCCAAGCAAGAAAGACTGAAAATCTATGCAAAGGTAGCAAAGATGGAAAAGAAGGTTGAGTAGATAAACTATTTCAGTGCCCAAAAAATAAACAAGTGAATTAGTAGGTTTTCATAATGGATTAGACATTGAAACAGGTGGGAGAAAAGTGACTATGAGGGCAGGGACGACAGCCAAGGCGAACCTCTAACTTGGAGTTCAAAGAATGCTGTCTCTTAAACACTTCAGATTTTGTGGACAACATGGTCTCGGTACTAACTTCACAACTCTGTCATTAGAATGCAAAAGCATCTGTAGGCAAGTGGCTGTAACTCTCTTGTATTTAAAAGTTACTTAGAAATATAGCAAGTGGGCCAGGTTTCATCCTTCTGCTTTGTCTAAAAAGGAGTTGGTAATTTCACAAAGTAGTTACCACCTTTGCCTGCACAATAAACTCAAATGGAAAACTTTTAAACACACACACACACACACACACACACACACCAATTAAATCTGAATATCTGTGAGTAAAATCCAGATATCATGAGTTTTCATTGTGCAACCTAGGTTGAAAAAGCTACTACATCAATTTAAAATGTTAATATGTTTGAGGCATGGAAAAAAGATGAATGTGTTGAATCCTAGGTGAGCAGAAGGTTCCAAACACCTAAGAAAGAGGATACATTACTACAAAAGCCTTAGGCTAGATGGTAAAGTACAGACTAGAGTCATAAACTAGGAGCTATTACTAGATCCACTGGGATTAGTCATCAAAACTCTGCACACTGAAACCAGCACTGTAGAGTCCATCCAATGGGTTATGACATAAGAAGGAATAAAATGTAAGGGTCAAACAGATATAACAAAGTGCAATGGAAAGCCAGCAGCAGGTACACAGGAATTGACTGCAGTCATGAACAGCAACCTAGAAAACATTCCTACACAAAAACTGCTTTCATCATTTACCACAGATACTAATGGAAATAATAGAAATAATGGAACGTTTTGGAAACAACCGTCTTAATTTTTTTGGAGGGGGTCTCCATAAAAACTATCTGATAGACATGAAAAGATAACAGCATTTGGGTTAGGCAAAGGTAATTCACATAGATTACATATTTTGCCAAGTGTAATTTTATTTCCAAGAAAAAAAAATTGTTTTCAGATGTAAACTGATGGGTTACAGGTCCAAAACAAATGATAAACCTCTAAAACTCTTAAAAATTGTGTTCTAGAAAACAAAGGGTTAAATTAATAACTATATGACAATGCTCAGAAGTTTTCATTATTGTAGAAAACTGGTGCTCAGTAGCAAAGAAAACAACAGCAGGTATGCATTAACTCTCACCAAGCCAACTCAATATGAAAGTAAAGAATTCAAATCAATATTACCCTTGGTCTCACCTCCTCATTTTCATTGCCACTTGAATTCTTCCTTGCTGATTTGTACTGAAAAAACATTTTAAAAGAATACTTTATTCTTCCATAAACATGTGAATATTTTGTTCAAAATGACACCCGAGGCTTATTACTATGTTGGTACTTTTATTAAATTATCTGATATTAAACTGAAGTACACAGTCAGTTTAAACAGTCCTGCTATTCACACGTACAATGCTGTGAGTAACACTATTCCTTCCTAAGCCAGACCCACTTCTCATTCTTTCAGGTTTGCAATCTGTAGATTGTCTGAGAACAGCGGCTCTAAACCTGTGGGTTGCAACACGTTTGGTGTCAAACGGAACGTTAACAGAGACCGTGTATACAGATATCATGCATATCAGATATTTATATTGTAACTCCTAACATTAGCAAAATTATAGTTATGAAGAGGCAATGAAAATAATTTTCTGGTTGTAGTTCACACAACATGAGGAACTGTGTTAAAGAGTCTCGGCATTAGAAAGGTTGAGAACCACTGTCTTAGAGTCTTTCTTTTACTTAGTTCACTGCATTCAACAAGTCATCAAGTCAACTTTTTGGCAATCTCTCCTAGACTTGCTTCATCTGAATTCTTACAACCACCATCCTATCCAGGGTTCTTATCATTTCTCACATGGTTTGTAATTTCACTATACTAAGACCATAGCAATTGTTTTAAAAACTGGGCTGGAGATGTGTTTCAGTGGTAGCATGCTTTCTTACCACCTATGAACCCCTGGGTTCAATCCTCTCCACCACAAAGAAGTAGTCTTCTAATTTCAGGCTATGTTAAATGCATATGGCAACTACACAATAATAGGAATAGTGCTGAGAGCTAACATTTAGAACTATCATTTACATTACAGTAGTAATGATTGAAGTGCATTGCATGGATTGAGAAATTTAATCTTTATAACAACAGAATAAGTACTTTTGTCCCAGTTTATAGTGAAATATTGAGAAAATGTGTTCAACCTAAAGAATTTGAATATGTGACAAAGTGATTTTTAGGATCAAGGAGAATATACTGTGACAATAAGTAGAAGTCTTATTTTCTTATTCCTTGCCCAAAACTGCTTGAATTATTTTGCAAATCAACGATAGAACCAAACAGGTGTTCACAGAAGTTCTTTTTTTAAAAAAAAAAAAAAAAACTACTAATTTTCAGATCATGTCACAAACTAATTTTCCTGATGTCCAGGGTTAAATTTAATTGCCCCCTTTATGTAACTCTGTCTTCCATATCTTGAGGAAATAACTTACCTAGTGTCTCAGTCACAAAGTAGGCTGTATTAGGAACTGCAGATAAGTCACATATGTTCCCCTACTATAGTTTATAGCTGTGACTAATGTACTATTAGTTCCATTGCATATCTTTTTGTGTTGATGTTCAAGAGCCTTTAGTATACTAAGCAAGTGCTGCTAATGATGAGCTACACTGAAGCCCTATACAATTTTATATTTTCCTAACTTTAAAGGAATAATTTGATACCGATTTTTCATGCAATGTCCTAACAGTGACATCTTCTGACAATTGAGAAGAATTACACATGTCCTTAACCTATTTCCCAGGGACTGAAGATTATATTTACACCCACTTTATCATGTATGAAAGAAATGAACATTTACTGACTGATGGTTACATAATAGTCATTTTATATATTATTCTATTTTATCTTTTAGCAACTAAATAATATAATTGATACAGTAGAAGGAACATATATGCCATGAAGACTAAATTTTTGAATGAACAAACGATGGTTTTAAACCGAGTAATAGTTGACTATGATAAAGATTCACAAACACCTCTATTAAGTTCACTTGAAGTATTGCAAAATATTTTGAAAAAAAATGAAACTCTGTTAATGCTAATGTTTATCCCTTTCATATCATGCTGTCCACAGGACAAAGACACAGCATTAAAAACGCTCTGAATTCTAATCTCAATTTTATGATTAGCACACTATTGACTTTCTGGGCCTTAATATTCTCATATGTAAAATACAAATGATAACTGCATTTTATGCTACTGAAGTTTCCTGAAGGACAAATGGACTAAAAATATTTGGAAAGGTTTCTGTCAGTTAATAATTCCAATACAAGTGTTTTGATAAATATAATCAGTATGATATTATTATATTAGGATAAAGGAAATCAAAGAAATATAAAGTACCTCCTGTTGCTTAGAAATAACACATCATAAGTAATTCACCAAGGTTCACTTATAAAAATATTTTCAATCAGTACTTTTCTTTATGTTTTCATGACTTAAAAAGGGAAACTAAGATGAAGGCCAGATGTAAACCTAACTGCAGAGTTGCAAAGGGTTCTGATCATTGGAATGCCCTGCCATTTTCCTTCCTATGTGTTTTTTCTTATTACCCAATTAACTCAAAATCCACTGGCCAAAAATAATCAGTAATCATTTATTCAAAGTTTAAGGTGATTACATATTTGCTAAGGCATATACCATTCTTATTTTGACCATATGCCACTTTCAAACACATATTGATTTCCAATATATGGATAGAGAAATATGCAGATTGAAAGAAAAACTGCCAAACACAAAGGTAAAAAATAAATTCTATTTATTAGTGGCATAAACTTGAAATAATGTGTAACTTAGGTGAGTATTACATATTTAGAGAAAATGATTTTCTGATGAGGTTTGTGGGAGGTATGAGACAACAGAATTTGCTATTCATGGTGGAGGACAAGATTTGTACTACTCATCTGAGTCAATCCCAAGAGTAAATGATGATTAAAATTTATTCTAAATTTTGATCACAGTCCCCTTCAAATGTAACAAACTTGAAGTACAAATAAATAATTATGTAATAGAAAGTTATGATAATTTGCAAGCTCTATTATTTTATTATTTATTTATTTTTTATTTATGTTTTGGTTTTTCAAGACAGGGTTTCTTTGTGCCTTTTGAGCCTGTCCTGGAACTAGCTCTTGTAATCTAGGCTGGCCTCGAACTCTCGGGTGTTGTAATTAAAGGCATGCGCCACCTCTAGTATTTTAATTTAGCTTTCATTTTAAGAAATCTACTGAATCATGTGTAGTGAGGCACAACTTAGAGTTGGGCAAATCTCTGTGAGTTGGTGGTCAGCCTGGTCTACATAGAGAGTTACAGGACAGCCAGACCTATATAGTGAGACACTAACTAAAAATAGTTCTGAACTATTTATTGAAACAAATCCAATGAAAATCTTTTTCTAAACCAGTCCTGGTTGTTCACTTCTGGAATCCTAGCTTATAGGAGACAGAGACAGGGGGTAGGGATTTGAGGCTAACCTGGGCTATATAGTGAAACCCTACCTCAAAACCAAAAGACCCACAGAATTAATTGCCTCAATCGGCGGTGTAACACACACAAACATCCATCCTCCTTTGAACCATTCGAAAAATTATGATGTATATTGATGTACTCTTAATTTAAACTACTGAAATTTTGTGACTATACTTACAAAGCATATCATTATCCTATACACCAGGGCAATCAACATGAACAGAGTCGTTGAATTTAACTGGAGAGTTATATGTCATTTATTTAAAACAAACTTAAGAATAAAAGTAAAAACAAAACAAAATTAAAAATTTGTTAAGGTACCTTGAAATATTCTTTTCTGATCTGCTTACTCCGTCTCCTTTCTTCGTTTTGCCAGATTATAGGCTGAGATTCTGGCCACTGTTGTTCAACTATTTGGTCCTTCTGATTTTCTAATGGCTTTAATGACAAAAGTTCTTTTTTAAACTAAGCAAATGACAACAACAAAACAGTACAGGTATTATTAATGTTGTTTGCTCTTACCTGCCATGCAAGGGGTGATAATGGTGAATTCCCTTCATCTGCTGAGACACTAAAACATTAGAGATGCTTTAATATTACTTAAGATAATATTAATCATTTTGCATACTTTAAAAGTGGCAATTTTGTCTTTTCATTGTTTTAAGACAGCAATGTAAAGACATTCATACCTATATGTTTCATTTTGTTGTGTTGTTTTGTGTTATATTGTGTTGTATTCTATTGAGACTGGGTTTGCTATGTAGTTCTGGATGGCCTGGTACTCACTACCATAGCCAGCCTCCCAAAAACTGCAATGGCAGATATTAACCACCACATGGTTGACTAATATTATATAAATTAAAGTTGATAAAAAACAACCAATAGCGAGTGCCTACTAACTATTGCACCACAAGAAATAACAAAATGAGTTTATTTTATATTCATCATATGCATAACCCAACCCTATTTTGTAGAGGCCAAAAGGCATATCGTATGTATAAATATATAGTAAAATAAACATAATATTATAAAAAACAAGTTACTCTTTCTTTCAAATATCACAATGGTATCAGTGAGATGAGTGAGCATGTAAAGGTACTAGCTTGCAACAAGCCTGACAATCTGAGTTAGATCCCTGGGATTCACATAGTAGAAGGGAAAAACCAAACCCCTGAATTGTTGACAGTTGTCCTCTGACATCCACACCTGTGCCATGGTAACATGCATATGCATGCACAAACATAATAAACAAACAAACAAATAAATAAGCAAACACATAATTTCTTTCATCTAAATGCCAGAGTTCAGAAGACAAATACATTATTTCCTGTTGAATTACGATCATAAACTTCAGTTGTGATGTAAGAGGGCCTACAAAGGACTGAGTTCAACATTGACAATGCTTCTTCTAACTCCAAGGGATCCAACATCCTCTTCTGGCAACCATTCACACACAGAAACATGTGGCATACACTTACACAGACAGACAAACACATACACAAACAGAAACACACTAAAAAGTTTAAAGATTAAATGAGAGAGGGGGAAGAAGGAGGGAGTAAAGATGAGTGTCGTGGCTCATACTGGACATCTTAGCACTCACAAGGTGGAGCCATCACCATGAGCTGGAGTCCTGATTGGTATCCATAGATAAGGTAAAGGTAAGCCCAGGCCACAGAGTAAGAACTTGTTTCAAACAGACAGAAAGGATGGAGAGGAGGAACAAGAAAAGGAAGAATAACAAGAGAGAAAATAATAAAAATTTATAAGTACAGGGAATATCCCTATCCTCGGGAAGTAATTAAAAATGTACAAACATGAAAATATAGTAACAACAATTCCAGAATTTATAGATTTTTTTTTCAGTGGAAGATAGAGTACAATTTTTTTTGTACAAAAACTTATGGTACAAATGCATAGAAACTGGAGATTATGTAGCAAGTAAAATATAAACAATATAATGAGTACTTATAAAATACAAAAAGAAAGAAACAGCAAAAAGGGATGGGTAAGTAAAAGAAGGAAGAGTAAAAAGGAAGACAAAAAGCCTGCATCCTAACCTCTTATCAATATACAGAAATCTATTAAATCAATTTATTTTAAATGTAAATAAAGAATCATAGAAATGGATAATGAAAGAAGAATGTCATGCTTGTCCCATGTTGCAACATGGAGAGCATTTCCATGTCACAGACCAGAGAGAAAAAATTCAAGGCAGAGTCCAGACGGTTCCTACATTTAGAAGTAAGAGAAAAAGTGGCATACATAGTCCACAGGATAGTATAATAAAGAAGCAAGTTAGCACATAGAATAGCATCCTGGGACTCTATATGGTTTGGTAATGCACACAACCATATAACCACACACAGCCACACACATACACACACAGATGGAGGGAGGGAGGCAAGGAGGGAGGGGAAAGGGAGAGAGAGAGGGGGGGAGAGAGGGAGGAAGGGAGGGAGGGAGGGAGAGAGAGAGAGAGAGAGAGAGAGAGAGAGAGAGAGAGAGAGAGAGAGAGAGAGAGAGAGAGAGAAGAGAGGAGAAAGAGAGGAGAGAGGGAGAGTGGAAACGTGCACAACACTTCTAATAATTATCAGTCCAGCTCTTTCACTTTCCCATACCATACTATGCACACACACCTCCCTGGACAAACCACCTAATAATAGTCTATAACCCCACCTGCATTAGACTACACATAGAGCCCTCTCGGAACAATGGGATAGCATTCTACTCTTCTACTGACGATCAACACTTTGACAATTTCTATACAAACATACTGTCAGTTTTTTCAGGAACAAAGGAGTATACGCTGATCTGACCTAAAGAAATTTTTAGTGTCTGTACAATAAAGCAAAACTGTATTCCCCACGTAAACTCTTGGGGGAAATCCATGTTTGCCACCTTATGCCTGTGCACAGTTGGGTGTGTAGAGAGCAAGACTGACAGAAGTGGAGTTGGTAAGATGTGATCAGGTCTCACTAGTCAACATGATTTGGTAATGGGTTAGCTATGGGGTTTGAGAGAAAGTGACAAACTAAGGATGAAACTTTTTCAGGTGTTGTACAATAAGAATGGAGTTAGCATTTTCTGAAATGGGGAAAAATCCAGAAAAATCATGCTTGAATGTGCAACAATACTGAGTAGAAGTATGATGTCTGGAAATCAGACATTCCTACTATGCATCTAAGTGGAAAGTAAAATAGAAATTCCACCATACTGTGGTAAATATCAATGCACAACATACATATAAACAGTGTAATATATATGTACAACTTATATATAAACATTGTAATATATTTATGCACACTGGTATATAAACGCTGTGGTATGTATCAGTGCACATTCCTATATATAAACACTGTTGTATATACTGATGCACACACCTAGATATATAAACAAATGCAAATACTCATATGTACTTCCATACAGTGTGTTTCCCACAAGGTATATATTTAAAAAATAGCTTGAAGCTCTGCGTGGTGGTAAAGAAGTGGTGAAATCCATAGGAGTAGTGCTCAGTACAATACAATATGGTTATTAAAAAGCCTGGCTTTGGAAGAGATTAATGTAGTTTTCTAGGAGCTCCAGTGGCTTCTATAAGAATAAGTTGCATTATATAAAACCTAAAAGTGAACTTGATTATTAAATCCTTCTTCTTCCTGTCTTACTGTGTGGCCTCTTCTATACATGTTCCCAACACTGTGCTGCTGTCTACTATGAAGCTCTCACACAACTATGCAGAATTGAACTGACTTCTAAGAGACGATGCAAAGGAAGGAAGAAACATGGGCACTATGAAAAGGAGACCAAGATATAGAATGTAAAAATAGGGAAGCAAACGGAAGTAAATAAAAGAGTTATGCTTCTAAACTTAAAGGCTATTACTCTATAGAGTGCAAAGATGAGGCTCTGAGCTGAGATTGAAGACAAGTAGAAGCCCATTTCAACTCTATGGTTAATCTCAACATTTTGTCCTTTATCATAAAAGGTTAGAAAATAAGAAATAGGGGTTGTATTGGCTGATTAAGTTTTAAAAGCCTCTGTTCTTTAATAATACAGAAAAGAAAGGAGTTATGTGTGGAGGCTGTCACAGAAACTCAGATGGAAAACAATGGGAGCTGAAGCAATACAACTAAAATAGTAATGGAGAGGATGGAAAAAGGATTAACGGGATATTCATGTCGCAGGAGGAAGACATAAGAGTGAGAAGTTTCCAAAGTTGCTGGCTTAGGGGACTACATAGTACCTGCATATTCACTAGGGTAGATGACACAGGAAAAGAGGTTTGGAGACACAAATCTGCACACTCTGCAGAAATATATCGAGTGATATGCATGGATCTGAAGTAAATTTACTGTTACTATATATGAAGTCTTCAGGTTCTGCAATAAGACACACCTAAGTATGAATCATGACTCTCCCACTTACAATGTGAGCTAGTTATGAAAATTCTTAGTTTCAGTTTGCTCATGTGTACATGAGTATAGCAAAAGTAACAACTTCACAATTTTATTGTGATGACTGAATAAGACAGATCATTTACAGAGTTAAAAGAGTACACATACACCCAGCATCCAATAAATTATCCTTCAGTGTGTGCCTCTGTACTCCTATCTTTGAAAATTTATACCCAGGACTTGGGTAAAACCAATGAAGAACAATAAATAGAAATTTTCAGATCTAGTTGTTTGAAATCCATATATGTAAACCTATGTTATTTAACAAACAGCTTAGTAAAACTCAATTAAAAGAAATTAAAATGCAAACAATAACAAAGAATAAACATAACCAGTGATAAAGAAATACATTATTAATGGTGGTTATATCAATTGGATAAACATTTGTGAATGAATCAAGACAAACCACAAGTATAAACAAAAAGAATCAGAATCGGGGCGTTTGTTTATAGAAAACCCAATTGGACACAAGTTTTGACATATTTGATCTTTAAATTATCTACCTATATGACATCTGCATCATATATCCACATAACATCGTTTGAGGAAAATTGCTATAAGAATATCAAGTCTCATTTAAGATACCAAATATTAAAATGACTATGATATGTTTATACCTCTTTTCACATTCCACAGTTTGTTTCAGCTTATTTCTCATGACAGAAGTTGAATGATTAAGAATCCTAGAAGTAAATCAACACATTAATTACAAGCTATACTGAAGATAACATTGCACACTTATGTCCTAAATAAACTGCATCTATGTCATGAAGATCTTGCTAGAAAATAATATTTCAGTCCCGTTTGGACTTAAGTGCCCATCAGCACATCATTTATGAATGATGTTCACAAAAGGTGTATTGCATCTTGTTTTAGAAACCACTCATTAAGTCTGGATATTTCCTAGCCAATGCATGATTACTCTGTGTATAACTAATTCTAATTTACACAGAACATAATGAAATATTTTAGGTATCATTTTGAGTCATTTCCTTGTTTCCAGGACAGAAAATGACAAGAGATATGTGGTACTTCATAATCACTTTAACAGAAGCCAAATAGCAAACTTTAATTGTAAATGCAAAAATCAATTTTAAAGGTCAACTCCTTTTTTAAAAAAATCAAAAAATTCTTAAAGCTTCAATAGGAAAGAGTATTATAACAAAAATAAACAAAAATATAATAATTTCCTATAAAAGAAAACTATTTGTTTAAGGCTTTATCTAATACGAAGTATTAACCTCAATATCAAATGTGGTAAATTAGTAACTGTCTTTCATTAAAAAAGTAATTGTACATATTATAACATTCTTATTAATATACAAATAAATGTAACTTAATTCTACAAATAGTGCTACAATGAATAAAATATCTACTTTTTAAGGAATACTTTAGACATCAACAATCTAAAAACTATAAAAAATAATTTAGTGAGTTTAATATTAATTAAATACACACTGGTTGCTGGGTGGTGGTGGCGCATGCCTTTAATCCCAGCACTCGGGAGGCAGAGGCAGGCGGATCTCTGTGAGTTCGAGACCAGCCTGGTCTACAAGAGCTAGTTCCAGGACAGGCTCCAAAACCACAGAGAAACCCTGTCTCGAAATACCAAAAAAAAAAAAAAAAAATACACACTGGTAATTACTGCTCTATGGTGAAGATAGAGCAGTCAGTTGATGCCGGGCTCTCTTTCTTACTAGCTTGACTCTAAGCATAGCCTCACTGAGTAAATACAATGACGTCAAAAGGTCAAGTATTGACATAAACCTGTCTTTCTGGGCCAAAAATCACAGAATTAAGCACATTTAAATATATTTTCCTATGTACATAAAATTTCTTTAGATCCAAAAATGTAAAATTATGGTATTGAAGTATCAAAGGAAAATATACTTAAAAAGAAGATTTAAAAAAATAGAGAAATAACAATAAATACTACTTAGGAAGGAAAGTCAGAATCATTGTTAGAGGGAACTGGTCAAGCTATTATGACCTTCATCATGATAAAATAATGCTGTTCCACACCGCTTACTAGTATGATATATGTATCATACTGTAGCAAAAAGAAAAATAGTTGAAACCAACTTACATATAAAAAATATGGATTATGTATTTGAAAATTCAACTATATAGCACTCTGGAATATACCCTGATATTTCATTTTTTACTCTGTGATAAAGAAAAAGTAAACATCTATTTTATCTAATTTTCTATTTGCTATTATTAATATGCTTCCCTAACACAGTTCCCAGTACTTATTTTAAGAAAAATGTTACATAATCCTGGCCCCTTAATACTTATGGCTTCCACCAACTCTAGATACCTTGATTTCCGGCCTGCTGCTCTGGTCCTCTGGAAGAGTTTGTCACTGAATGATGTTCTATAACTTAAAGTCCTCCATCTATATTCACATTTCACATATATCAACCAAATCAAAAGATGGGAGAAGGGAGATATTTTTGGAGAAGACAAGGAAGTCATTAGTAAAGAAAACAGAAAAGAAAGAATGGCTAGGTTTCAAGAGTTAAGAGAACTATAGAAGTAGTTATAACAAACTAGAGGTTAATACAATGCTCCTTAACCTGAAATGCTGATTAATCAGATAATAATCAAAAGACACATATCATAATGCATTTTATAATTCTAAACTCATGCCATAATCTTCTCAAAACCTGCTTTTAATTTCTTCAGTTATTTAACCTTTAAAAATTGTTCTTTTGTTGTCTAGCTACATCACAAGGTATTCAGAAGTACATTCATTCACAATAAAAAAAAGTTCTCAGGCCATAACTAAAATCAAATAAAACATTTATGAAGATGTATGACATATCAAAATAGTATAGAATACATTATCAGAGAAATATACAATGAGAATCAGTTAACTGAAACTGTTGTAAAGTGCACATATACAATAATCTTTACTTTAGGATAATAACCAAATATTAAGAAGCTAGCTAAGGACTCACTTATCATGACAATGAAAGCACTATATGGCAAAGTATAGAATCATTTTTCTACTGCTAACATACATAAGTAGGACTGGTTAAAATGTAGGGAAATGGATCAGTAGTTATAGAGTATCATTAAAGTGTTTTTATCAGAATTTCCTTCATTTTATTCCCAAGTCAATATTACAAATATTCTTTTTACGATAAGTCACACATTCACATGCAAAATACTAATACTGACATTTTATTCACAGCCCCTTTTTCAATTCTCTTCCTAATTCAGAGAAGCATACTATTTTCTAAATTTAATTTAATTGTGGCAAAAATGTTTAATTATCTAGTATGCATGTGGTCTGAGATTGACCCTAGGAATATAATAGAAAATTTATTCATTTATTTTTTTTAAAGATTTGTTTATTTATTATGTACACAGTGTTAAGCCTCCATGTATGCCCTCAGGCCAGAAGAGGGCACCAGATCTCAATACAGATGGTTGTGAGCCACCATGTGGTTGCTGGGAATTGAACTCAGGACCTCTAGAAGAGCAGGCAATGCTCTTAACCTCTGAGCCCTCTCTCCAGCCCAGAAAATTTAAATTAAAAAAAAAATTAACATGAGATCTCCCCTGAAAACATTTTTAAATGTGAAGTGCATTGTTAACTATAAGCACAATGTTATAAGCAGACATCTACAATCTGTTAATCTCATAAAATTATTTTAAGATACTAATTTTAAAGCATATTCTTTTCATTTGAAATTCTTCCTTGGGGAGTGCCGGGTTTTATCCTTTCAGCTGCATTCTCCAGAAGGATATGTTTCACAAACACTGGGCTCAAGAAATGCACTAGTCTTTGTTCCCAAGGAGTTAGACAACAGACACACAGCACCGCAGTAGCTTCACAGAAGCCTACCCTGTACATCAGAGAAAGTATGGCTACCTTATAGGCAACTTGTCTTCATAATCTGAAGCCTTGTGGGCTAGCTACACAGTACTCTATTCACTGAGCACTTTCCCCACTGTTTTTGGTCAATAACTTTGTCTTCTGGATACTTCTGTTACTTTCTTAGGACAGTATCATTCAACAAATAAAAGCACACACTTCTGTTACAAAGTAACGATTTGTACTAACTAGTATAAACTAAGCAAGCAGCAAAACAGCCATAACAAAATCATTATGGAACTCAATATCATTATTGCTCCAGTCAACCTTACTTTGAGAGTATAACCATCGCTTCTTTTAGCCTAGACCTAAACATATGTTCATTTTGAAACAATAATAAGTAATAGAACAGTACAGTATACAGTCAAGGTAGGAGTCTTGGAGGACATTTTCTGGTACTTGGAGTTAATCTCATACTACATAAATTACTTTTAAATGAAAATAACAATAAACAAAAGAAATCCCAAAATATAATAATTGTATTAAAAACTGATACGTAGATTCTACATATTCTCTATAGAACTTTTAAAAAACAAATTTGTTTCTCATTTAACTAGCAGGTAAGAGTTACATTTAGCATTATGGCAAAGAATTCCATATTTGTAAAGACTACAATGCTGAATATTTCTCTTATACTGAAGTATAAAAGAATGAGTGCCTCAAACATACTTAATGCCTTCAAAAGTTAGACACATCAGTACATAAAAATACTTAACCTAAATAGTTCTTATATAATCTGGTAACAGGTAAAAAGATAAAAAAGAAGAAAATCAGATGGAGACAAAATTAGCTTTGTATATATCTTGAAAAATAAAAGAAGTTTTATGTAGAATATAAAAATTTCAGCTGAACTGATGACTTCCATTAAGTTAAAATTTGACAAGTTTCAAGAACTCAATTAGCAAACAATAGTGAAACACTGGGTCCTCTGTGTTAGAAAGCAAATCTAGGTCTCGCTTTGTACTAGTTATAAAGGTATTGCCAAAGCAAACCCCACAAAAGATGAACTACTTAGATAACCCTTAACCTAAACAATGAAGGATAATCTAAGAAACATAGATAGATAAAAATGAATATAATAATAGTAGAGATGAAAATAAGGAAAAACTGTATGGCAAGGTTGAGTTTAAAATTAAACTCCCAAACAGAAAATGGATATTATTGTAGAATCTTAAAAATATCACTATTCTCTTCTCATAGTGAAAAATAAATAAAACTTTACTAAGTAAAGGAAGCATAAACTCAAGCATTTTTAACTTCCAAGATCTGGTGGTAGTATGCATCATTAAGTCAAACCACACAGGTTAGGAACACTTAGGCTACATATAACCTTACTGCAACCAGTTTGAAAAAGGCATATTGGAGCACACCAATTGATTATCCAATATCAAATGATCAGCCCTGAAAACATACATACAAGTTATATAGACTGAGTAGGTTATGTATATGCATATGGGAATGTATGTGTGTAGCTACATATATACATATATAATACATATGTAAAACACATATACCTATGTATACATATAGACATATAACAATTTTTTAAAGGTTCATGAACTTGAAACAGAGTAAAGTAGAGAGTTATATGGGATAATATGGAGGGAGAAAGAGGAAGGCAAAAATTATGTAACACAATATAACCTCAAAAATTAAAAGTTATTATAAAATGGCATAGTAGAAATGAATTATAAGAAAATATTAAACTGTAAAAACCAAGGAAACATTTACATAAATAAGTGATATGAGAAAAAAAAGGAAACAGAATGGGAATTCATCAGATAAAGAAATGATAGACAGATAAGCGATTATTTGATAGTGTGACAATTTTAAGAGAAATTGTAGTACCTGTGTAAATATTAGATGGTTACTTATCATATTATCTATTTGCCAGTTTTTTTCATAAAAGCAGATCCTATACTCCTCATTTGATATGTTTGCTTATTTTGTCTTTTGGTTTCATTTATGAATTTATTTCATGCATGTCTCTGTTTATACACTTGCATGCCTCAGCTTTCGTGTGAAATTCAGAAGACAACCTGTGGAAGCTGGTTCTCTTCTTCTACCACATGGGTTCCAGGGATCAAACCGAAGCTGTCAGGCTTGTCTGCAAGCACCTTTATGCACTGAGTCATCTCACCAGCACTGTCTGCATTTTGTTTGTTTTGTGGTATTGGAAATGTAACCCTGACCCCATATAGGATGGGCAAGAGTTCCATTACTGAGTTATGCAGTCAGCACTCGCTTGTGAGTACTTTTCAGGGTTGTTTTTGTATTATGAGACACAGTTTTATATAGCCCAGACTGACTACCTTCTTGTGACCCTCAGCCTCCTAAGATCCGGGATTATGGGCATGCACCACCATATCCAGATACAACGCATTTTTTAAAGAATACATATGTGTATATGTGAGTGTATGCCACATATTTGTGGGTTATGTGGAAGCCAGAAAAGGGTGTTGGATCCCCTGGAGGTAGAATTACAGGAGCCACCCACCTTGGGTCCTGGAAAAAAAAAAAACCAGTCTTCTAGAAAAGCAAAATGTGGTCCTAACCCCTGAACCGTCCATCAATCCAGTTGCCAGATGCTAGGTTTTAATGATATTTTTAAAACAAATTCCAATATCAAATCTTCTCAAGACATAGTAACCATGTTAACCACAAATATTTATTTTGAATAAGTAAAATGAAATACTAATTACTCATGCCAAATATACCAAAATTATCCTACTAATTTTCTCATGAAAAAGAAACAAAAACTTCAGTCTATTTCAAAACTACAAATGCAAGATTCTCAGTAAATATTGATAGCAGTAAGAGTAGCACATGGTCCATTTCATCTACTAAAAATGGGCTTTGAGCTCAGTAGGCAAAGTGCCTGCTATATATTTAGATTTTCAGCACCTGTAAACAATCCAGGGATGGCTGCATGCATCTGTAAGTCCAACCTGGTGAGGGTGGTGGTTCCTCAAGACTCAACAATCAACGACTCTAGTCAATCAGTGAGTTCTAGGTTTAGTGGGAGACTGTGTCTCAAAATGCTATGTGGAAAGCAACTGAGGAAGATACCTGATGTGTCCCTCTAACCTCCATGGGTGCACACATGTCTGTGAACACATTTTTACACTACACACAAAAAATGTTTAAATGGACTTAACTAGATTCTATGTTCATGCTCATGCAATGCCTTGCTTGTTGACAAAGACATGCACTTGGAAAAAGCTGAACCAGAGAGGGGAAAAGTTGTTCACCCAAGAATTAACCAATTGTAAAGGGATACTAAAATTGTCAACCTGATTTAAGAACCAATTATATAATTCACATCAATTCTGGAGAAACTGCATATCCCAAATAATTTGTAATCTGATAAAAATCTAATAAACTTTACCAGTATACTACATACTCATAAAGAAGTACTTATACTGCAAATAATGCTACTGTGAGCTAAAAATGAATATAGTCGAGCAAATCAATTACTGTAATTTATCACAGACATAAAAATTGTAAGTACATTAACTAAGGCTAGCGTACAGTGCAAGAGCAGAAGCTTTGTCTAGAATGGATGAAGCCCAGAGTTTGATCACCAATACCATAAAATTAGATATAGCCAAATTGTGAACATTCTATTAGTTATATATTCAACCTCATATTTCTTTTCTAAGTATTTCCCACTGGCTTTCAGCAGTCAACCTCTTGGCTACATATATTTCTATATTTAAAGATCCCTATTCGTTACTTGCAGCTTCATTTCCTTAAGTTGATAATCTTTCACTGATAATAATATTTGCCTGTTCAAATCTTATTACTAAAAAGAATACCTGTTCTTCTGTTCTTGCTTCAATAACTGAGCAGCTATCTTCCTCAAATCAGTTACTTCTTTCAAATCATCATCGTCTTCCTCCTGAAGTAACTGTTCTTTGTCAAGTCTGAAACAGACACAGTGATTCCAAAAGTAAAGCGAACTATTCTTTGTCAACATCTAGATATGGAAACTATTGTTAGTTTTAATTCCATGTGAGCAAAAATTTTTAAGCCTTTATATTTAAAATACTAACGTAGAAAATAAGAAATAATTAGGAAAATACAACCTCATTCTCAACTCAATATAACAACAGCTAACAAGTGATATTGAAGTATAGATCATTTTTTTAAATATTTATTTATTATGTATACAATATTCTGTCTGTGTGCATGCCTACAGGCCAGAAGAGGGCACCAGATCTCATTGCAGATGGTTGTGAGCCACCATGTGGTTGCTGGGAATTGAACTCAGGACCTTTGGAAGAGCAGGCAATGCTCTTAACCACTGAGCCATCTCTCCAGCCCCAAGTATAGATCATTTTAAATTTTTTTGAAACATATAATGGTCACAAGTTAAAGATAAAGGTAGCTTTGGGTATATAAAGGACTGAAAAATTCCAGATAGCCAATTTTTAGAAATAAAGAAAAAACAATATCAAAAATTTTCATTTTGCAACACTGTTTCTAAAGATTACTTGTTTTGGTTTTTAAGATCTCTATATAAAACAAATAAAATAGTTTAAATAGGGGGAATGTTAAGCAGGTTCAAATGAGAGTTTAAAATTTTCCAGAAATTGCTATAATAAATCATTTTAACATTAAAAACTCAATTAAAAGTAAGTTATTCTTGAAATTGTAACTATTTGGTATTAAAAGCAGTTCATTCAATAACAAGAACCAAAATAACAATAATGGCAATAACAATATTGCATTCTCATTTGATGAAGTAAGAAATTAATAGAAAAATGGAATCTGAAGAGTACAGCAAAATGGTGGCACAGGCCTGTAATCTCAGCTACACTGGAGCCTAAGGCTAGACAACCACAAATTCAAGGCAGCTCCAGGCTACAAAATGAGTTCAAGGCTAACCTTGGCAATATGGCAAACCGTATCCAAAATACAAAGTAAAAAAGAGGGCTGTAGGTAAAAACAAGGCATTTTTATCACCACTTCTAAGGCTCTATTTGGGAGCAGGGGTGGAGGGTGGGGGGAAAAGGGCGGTTGAGGAGAATTTGAGGGAATGGGATGGTCGAGAGAAGGAAGGACAGATATGAGAGCAAGGAAAGAGATATCTTGATTGAGGGAGTCATTATGGAGTTAGCAAGAAACCTGGCTCTAGAAAAATGCCCAAGAACCCACAGGGATAAACCCAGCTGAGACACTAAGCAATAGAGGATAGGGTGTCTGAACTGACCTTACCCTGTAGTCAGACTGATGATTATCTTAAATATCACCATAGAACCTTCGTTCAACAACAGATGGGGAACAGAGGCAATGAACCACATCAGAGCACTGAACTGAACTCTCAAGATCCAGTTGAAGAGTGGAGGGAGTGAAAGTGTGAGCAAGGAATTCAAGACCATGAAGGGGTCATCCACTGAGACAGTTTGCTTGAGCTAACAGTAGATCACCAACTCCAACTGGACTGGGTGTGAACTTGCATGGGAACAACCAAACCCCTCTGAAGGGGGACAGCTGGGGCAGACTGAGGGGCCACTGTTAGTGACACTGGGATGTATCTCTACTTGCATATACAGGCTTCATGGGATCCTATTCTCATTGGATATAAACCTTGTTCAACTTAGACATAGTAGGGATGGCCTTGGACTTTCCACAGGGTGGGGTGCATGGCACTCCCTTAGTGTTGGAGGTGGAGGGTCTGTGGAGGAAGAGGGAGGAGACTGGGAGGAGCGGAGGGAGTGGGAATTTGGATTGGTATTTTTTAAGTAATAAAAAAGGAAAAAAAAAGAAATTAGAACTGAAAACAAAAACAAAAAAATAGAATATCATAGAAGATGCAGAGGAAAATAAGAGCCAAAATGTTGGGTGAAGGGCTGTGAAATGTCACTCTCTGGATCATTGGTTGTCAGCCGTCTTAATGCTGTGACATTTTAATACAGTTTATCATGTTGTTGTGACCCCTTCATTCATAAAATTATTTTTGTTGCTACTTCAAAATTATAATTTTGCTATTGTTATGTATCAAAATGTGACTAATTTTGGAGATAGAGATTTGTCCAAGGGGTCATGACACACAATTTGGGAACAACTTCTCTAGACAATGTAAAACTCCAAAAGTTACTTTGTAAAACACATTGTTAGCTTCATTTTTGCCAACACAAGACAGGACCTACTAACAATAAGTCAAGGAAAGGGGGAACTCATGGAGTTCTACCCATTTCTTCTAAAATATTGGGAGAGGGTGAACCACTGTGTTGAGGTGTGTATTCACTGCTGAGCCAGGAAACTCCAACAACTATTTTTAAACCAATGGTTGACACAGACAGGCCTGGTTAATCTCAGTGGGCCCCAAAACAAAATAAAACGACATGAACAACATGAAGGAAAGATCTGTGGGAAGTGGGGATAACAGGGATTGTAGTGAGAAGGGGGATGAGAATGACAACTATGCCTTGTTTACATTTGTGAAATTGTCTAAAAACTCATTAATTTAAAAAGTAGGACTTAGGCTATAGCTCAGTGATAGAGCACTTGTCTAGCATGGTGAAGGCTCTACAGTCAATCCTCCACATTAAAAAAAAAGACTACAAGTGAAAGCAATGTACTACCTCATTGGGTAGTAGAAGTATAAATTAAAAATTGCTTATAAATTACCAAATGAAGTTTCAAGTGTGTAGTTTAGAAAATATGCATTTAGCAGGCATAAAACCTTGAGTCAATCCCTAGCACTAAACATAATTATCAATAAAGTCACTTGAAGGAAGCACAATGTGCAGAGAAAACTAAGGGAACTGGGAGAAAGTTCAGTTCAGATGCTAATAGGCATTACCTATGTGCCTTTATATACATAATATAAAACCTTTTAGTAGGTAATATAAAATCACTGAATTGCACCTCCCATATGGATAGATATAGAGTCAATTTTGCCCAAAGCAGGACTTTAGCCAAGATTAAATGAGAAACTTGGAAAATCACACAGTGCTGGTCCTGATTAGTAAAGCTATAAAGAACCTAAAGGGATAACTGACTCCATCATTTTGTGAAATGAAATATAAATAAAAGATAAAAATCTCAATTACTGTAATAAAATATGGAAATATCTAGCTCACCATTTCCATAACCAGGCTACAAAATGCAAAGTATGTTAAATCAAGAGTCACAAAGCCCAACTTGCAGAGATTCAGAACTCTAAGTCTCAGCTTCCTTATTGATAAAATGATGCTGATGACATTTATATGAAAGGGTTGTTAAAGAACTTAAATGAAATAATATTCATGAAGACATAGTCCTCTTTGGTAACCAAATAATGCACACGATTAATATTCTACTGCAGAGGGGACCAAATGTCTATTAGAATTATGAATTTAATTAAGGAATTCGAAGTACTAGAAAGTTAACTATCTCCACATGACATGGGGGAAAACATGGCATATGAAACAAATTCTTTCAAGTGTTCTCAAGTAGGAATACATAATGACAGGTCCAAGAATTCATAAGAAACATTTTGAAAATTTTTGCATACTTACTTTTTTTCATTTCCCAGTTCTTCAATTTTCTGAGATTTTTCAGAGCACTTTTCTTTCCCCTTATAAAAAGCAAAGTTATCATTTTAAATTGCATGATATACTTCTGTATGATCAGCAAGAAGTGAATGTTATTAATCTTTGTTCAGTTTTGTTTACCTTTAGGAAAGAGACAAATGATCCAATATGTGTATCTCCTTGTTCAGGAACTGCTACATCTTCTGTGTTGGGATCAATAAAATCATATGCTTCCTGGTCTAGGTTCAGATTAATATTATGAAATATTATAAATGCTCTAATACTTTATACTCATGATAAAAGCTTAGCTGTGAATATAAAATATATCATAAAATACTGCACACTTTCAAAGTCTATTTTAATAAAAATCTCACTTTTAATATTCCATGCATACATGAAATAAAACTAGCAGATATCACATGAAGTACCTTTCTGTGAATCAGGCTTGCTTCCTATTAGATGACTGTCATTTCTTGACGTTTGCTCTCTGTTCGATTCTGAGACTTGAGAGTGAAGACTGATTGTATCATCATCTGATGGCTGAAAGGAACAAGCATACTGTATAAATGAGACATTCGAAACACATTTCGAATGTTTGTGCTACTTTAATTAAACAGGAATTACAAAACATCTGATTTCCATCTCTATATTTCCAACCAAAAATCGATGTTATGATGAATGTACTGCTTTTAAAAATTAATAGGCACTCCTTTCGAAATCAGAAAATATAACAAAAATTAAAGTTTCATGTATATTTAGAAGCCAACATTGTCAAGTGCCTCTTTTTCAACGCTCTAAGAAATAGCAGAGCAGCATGGATCAGCAAGAGAAGAGACTCACTTCCGTTGTAGACAATCGCTTCTCTCCATTATCACTTCCAATTCCAGAGTCAGGGCCATGATTTTTATTTGGATAAAAATCTTCCATACTACAGAAAGAGAAATTCTCAAAGCAGTTAGAATTTTCTCTTAAATCCACAATTCACACTTGAGTTAAAACACCCTAGGCTACACAAAATGCATACTTTTGATCTCCAAAATTCTTAAAGGAGGAAATAACATAAATTTTTCTACAATGTATTTCACTCATGACATTTAAGTAGTATTTTTTATTTTATGTCCTCCATAACTTAGTAGTTGGTAAGATTATTTCTCCCAAGAGACTGAAAACAGAAAGAGAGGAAAATGGACTGCCCTGCCAGAAAATCATTTTGATAAAGACATTTATTCAGTACTTTTGGCATTTTATAACGTCACACAATTTCTCTCTTGTTGACTGTTAAAATGTGTTAGTTTTATAAATAATGTGTATAATGTTGAATGTGTACAAGTGCCTCCATTTCAAAGCTCCATGAAGTGGGAAACCACCCAACAAGAGAAAAGATTCACTTCTGTTGTAGACAATTGCTTCTTTCCATTATCACTTCCAGGGTGAAGACTAACAAACACTAGTTTACTTCATAATTAAGAAAAGGGAACACACACATACACACTATCTGCAAAGTGCTGAATATAGAACTGTTTTGTGTGAGACTAGAGCTGTCCTTATAAATTTTTAACTTGCAAGTTATGCCACCCAGATAGCAAAGAATTTATTGCACACTGTGCAATAACTACCTAGTATGTAGCAAATACTGAGCTAAGTGTTTTAAAGACAACGTAAATTAAATTTTATGTAAAGTTCTAACAAAAATGGTTGGTGTTTTTCTATTTTATAGGCAGGCAAACAAGAGCAATTTACCTATATAGTTTGCAAATGTTAATGTAAATATGGTCCCTAGATTTCACATAAGCCTGAACAGTCCTTGATTTTAGCACTATGTTAAAATTCCTCAAGAGCTTCCTGGACCTGGGTCATTTTCCTCTTTCTTTTTTGTAAGACAGGTTGTCATCACCTTAACCATAGCTGCCTGAAACTTGCTATGATGTAGCCCAAGCTTACCTGAAAGTTTCCATCCTCCTGCTTCAACCTCCTTAGTTCTTGAGTTACAGGCATGTGCCTCCAGCACTTGACATTCTTCCTGACATTCTCCCTACCCCATCCCCACTGTTCATACAACTGGATTCTCTTAGTTTATTTAAAACTCCACTTCCCCATAATACTTGGTTGCAGGCCTGATGGCACAAGCCTGTACCTGAAAACATAGACAGGGAGGCTCCTCAGAGGTGTCAGACTGTACTGGTCTATATAACGAATTCCAGGCCAGACAGAACTCCACAGCGAGAATTTTTCTCAAAAATAGAAAAACAAAATGCTAAAAGTCTTCAACGTCCCAAATAGATATTCCTTAATCAAAGTCTTGGAATATGATGAGAAATATTTGTCTGTCAAAGTGTGTGTCATAATTTCAAATTTTAATACATGTTAAAATGTTCCAATAAACTAATTGTAAGTTAAAAAATATTTCAAATAAAAATTCATTTACCATGAATTTTGAACATCATGCTTTAGCAACACACAGTCCACTGTAGAGTATTATGTGTTTACCCTCAGCTCATTGTCACTGCCCATCATCACAAGGGTATACTCATACTATATATTGAAATCCCTGGAAATGATGAAAATTCAAAAATGAAGCATGGTTTCTGCTGATTGCATGTAGCTTAAGCACCATGAAAAATTAAAAAAAAATGGTAAAATGTACCATCATATGCCAGCCATCATGTGTGACTCTCTGTGTGTGTGTACATGAGCATACATCTGTGTGCGAGTGTGTGTGTGGGGGGGGTGTGAATGTTATGATCTAAATGTGTTGTAAACTTAATTCCCAATACAAATACATTGTCATGTGAAGTGTGGTAGGAATTTGGTTCAAAAAAAATTTAGTCTTTGAAGAGATTAACCTCTATTGTAGGAGTTAGTTTTGTCTGAGAAATAGAGTTGTTACGGCAGTAATCTGACATCCTGTTCACATCTCTTACTTTCTTTTTTTTTTAATCTGTCACCTTTTGACATGCTGTGGTGCAATAATCGGGCCCTCACTTAATGTACCCTGCCTATTTTGGACTTAATCAGTTTCCAAAACTATGAGCCATAAAAATTTTCATTATTTAAAATTATATGGTTTCAGGTATTCTTTATAGCAATACAAAGTGGACTGAACACTTATTTATATGGTTCCTTGTTCCACCTAGACTATGAGTTCAAATAGTTGCCAAAAAAAACATGTACTGCTTTCAACAAAATATGCCCTGAATCTAACAGTAGGCATTCAACAGCTATGTATAACAAAAATGATTGGAGAAAAAAATGAACACCATTACTAACCTCACTTTCAAAAAAAAATAAAACATACTAGTAGATATTACCCTAGATATTAATTCTAACTTTAATAGAATTTTAATGATATTCTGCTACTACTATCAAACAAAATATACCTTAGGAAATAAATACAATATGCAAATATTTTATGAAAGGAGAAGAAATAATTGTGAGAATGTCCTATTTGGGAACTTATGACTTCACTCTTAACAATATTACTACAATCACATCCAAAACAATGTAAAATTTATCATATAAATCAATGACAAACCTTTAAATATTTAGGTGGTCAGAGATTCCCTTTCTGTAGTCTTACCCCATTCCAAGTTTTTTTTTCATATTTCTGGATAAAATTATATTTTCAAAAGTCTTTCAGACCAATTTACATCTTGAAGTTATGAATTAAAAAGAATAACATATCTGCCATATCAAAATGTTATAGAGGACAGCACAATCAAAGAATATCAATGATATGTTACTTTTGCCCTGGAGATAGAGTTATAGTTTAATGGTGGAACACTGGTCTAATATACAACAGGCTCTGCATTCAACTCCCGGCACTGCAAAAAGAAAAAGAACATACACACACAAAGGGCTGAGGTTGTAGGTCAGTGATAGAGTGTTTGTTTAGATTGAATACTCAACATCAGAAAAAGAAAAGAACATTGAAAAAGAAAGAGATGCACCTCCAAAATATCTTCTGCTTGCATCAACTTCAGCTCAAAGTCAAATTCTACCTGCTAGTTACAAGTATTAAAGCAGTGATTAAGCTACCAGTTGTCACAGTAAGGAAATCAATACTTTTACCTTTACTGTCAAACATATACATTTTCTGTGCTAAAATAATGCTATCTGGGGAAAAATTTCACATTTAGTTCTGTATCCCAGAAGTTATTCAATAAGCAATGATGATCAGCCAAATACATTTTTTAAACACTAGTGTAATCAGACTAGATTCATTCTGCATACCCCAGAGAGTTCTAACAGAGGAAAAACATCAGGTGAAATAAGACTGTTTATGTTACCTGTCTGTGAGGGGCTGAGAAGGCATTCTTTTACTCAGTGATGGAAGATCCAGGGAATCTGGTTTCTTATCCATTCTACAACATGCTTGTATATTCAAGTACTTAAATATATGTACTTTACCCTTTAAGCATATCTGTAACCAAAAAATGAAGTAGATTTAGTAATAACTCCAAATAGAAATATTTATTTATTTGTGTGTATGAGTGTTTTGCTTGTATGTATGTGCACCTCGTGCTTGCCATATGGCAGAGGCCAGAAAAAGATATGTGATTCCCTAGAATCGAAGTTCCAGGTGATTATAAACCACAATGTGAGTGCTGGGAAACAAACTCAGATCCCCTTCAAGAATAGAGAGTGCACTTAACTGCTGAGCCATCTCTCTGCTTTTTAATTGCAAATATAAAAGAACACTGTCAAGTTATTTGTATGTTGAAATGATCTCAAAGTAGGCTGAGATATCACAACCTTGGTAGTTTGTATATTTTACTGAATTATATGTGTGGTGAAAGGAAGGAAAATGTGACAATAATGATAACAAATAAAAATCTTTTATCATTTATGGTTGTGAGCCAAGGCTTTAACAGCTGAGCCATCTCTCCATTCAGTCACAAGTGGAAGAAGATGCAGAGATGCAGATGCAGAGTGGTTAGTTGTGGGAACTCACTGACTCCAGACAGACAACCAGGAAACCTACATAAAACCAATCTAGTCCCCCTGAAAGCTGGTGGTATAGGCAGTTTGTGGGGCCTCTGGCAGCAGAATCAGTAGCAATCCCTAATGAATGATCTGACTTTTTGGAACGCACTTCCTATGAAGAGAAACCTTGCTCAGTCTAGACTTGAGAGGGAGGGCCTTTGGTCCTGCCTCAATGTGGCGATACAACAGAATTCATTTACTCCCTTACCCTCTCTGAGGAACAGATGGTGGAGGAGGAGGGAAAATGGGGGAGTGGGGGAAGGAGGGGGAATTGGAATTAGTATGTAAAAATTAAGAAAATTTGATGTGGGAGTGTCATATATCAATCTGTTGATTTCATTGGTTAAGCAATAAAGAAACTGCTTGGCCCTGATAGGTTAAAACATAGGTGGGAGGAGTAAACAGAACAGAATGCTGGGAGAAAGAAGCTGAGTCAAGGAGTCGCCATGATTCTCCTACCGGACACAGACGCAGGTTAAGATCTTCCCTGGTAAGACACATCGCGGTGTTACAGGGATATTAGAAATGGGTTAGATCGATATGTAAGAGCTAGCCAATAAGAGGCTGGAACTAATGGACCAAGCAGTGTTTAAATGAATACAGTTTCCGTGTAATTATTTCGGGGCATAAGCCAGCCAGGCGGCCGGGGTGCCGGGGACGCAGCCTCGCCGCTCATATTACAACAAAAATCTATGATCATTTTATCAGAAAATATTCTGTATATGTTTTATTTTTCTTTGTTAAGAATAAGGGTATTTTCTTTTTTTTAACTGAAGATGGATTTTTTTGCACAATATCTTCTGATTACGCTTTCCCCTCTGCTAACTCTCCCAGATTCTCCTCACTTCCACACCCACCCAAATTACACCCTATCTATCTATCTATCTATCTATCTATCTATCTATCTATCTATCTATCTATCTATTTATCTATCTAATCATTATTATTAATTATTTATTATAAGACAAAATAAAATAATAACAAACCTAAATAGAACAAAAGAAATAAGCAAAAAAGAGCCAAAGAAAATACTCAAAAACACATACAGACACTGAGATACACACATTCATTCACACACACAGAAAAGCCATAAAAACAAAATTGGACAGCATTATATATTAACAAAAGATCTGTAAGATAATAAATAGGGCCCAGGCAAAGCATCATGAACAAAACAAGCCCCCCTCCCACAGTGATCTTCAAAAATAGCATTAAGTTCATTTTGTTTCTGGTCATCCACTGTTGGGCATGTGGCCTGTCCTTAAGTCTGGTTGGTATACTCAGGGAGAAAACTAATTCACCCTTTACTAGCAGCTGTAAATTGGAGATATTATTTGGGTTAGGGATGAGGGCTTGTATCCACTTCCCCTCTCAGTGCTGGGACCCCATCTGGCTTAGAACTGTGCAATCCCTCTGTATATTTCTCTTTAAATAAACCATTTATTTTTTGACTGTTTGATCAATAAATTTATTCCAAACATTAATCCAATATTCTTTGCTTTTACAGCTAATAATTCTTTTCTTGTTCTATATAACCCAACCCCTTTGATGTGTTTTTTTTTCTTTCTTTTTTTTTGAAAAAATTTCCGCCTCCTCCCCACCTCGCACTTCCCTTCCCCTCTCCCCACTTCTCTCCCCATCCCTCTCCAGTCCCAAGAGCAGTCAGGGTTCTCTGCCCTGTGGGAAGTCCAAGGTCCTCCCCTCTCCATCTAGGTCCAGGAAGGTGAGCATCCAAACAGGCTAGGCTCCCACAAAGGCAGTGCATGCAGTAGGATCAAAACCCAGTGCCATTGTCTTTGGCTTCTCATCAGCCCTCATTGTCTGCCATGTTCAGAGAGTTCGGTTTTATCCCATACTTTTTCAGTCCCAGTCACGCTGGCCTTGTTGAGCTCACAATAGATCAGCCCCACTGTCTCAGTGGATGGGTGCATCAATCGCGGTCCTGGCATTCTTGCTCATGTTCTCTCTCCTTCTGCTCCTCTTTTGGGCCTTGGGAGCTCAGTCGCACAGACATTCCTCATCCCCCTATAAACCATTTAATTTTTAAAGGATTTCTTTATTTTTGCTTTATGTATATGTGTGTTTGCCTGTGTGCATGTAAATGTCCCACATGTGTGCCTGATGACCATAGAATCCAGAAGAGACTTTGGGAGATGCTACAACTAGAGTCAGTATTCACATACTGGAAACTGAAATTTTTTCTGAGTCCTCTGGAAGAGCAGAAACTACCCTTAACTGGTGAGCCATCAGATCTCTAGCCCCTATTTTTTATAGTTCACTCACATTTTCTTATTAAAAGTAAAATGTACAAACTTCTGAATACTATAAAATATTGATAATCCTTCACAAATATGTCATAATTGATACCTACATTAGAAAACAAATACACCATTCAGTGGATTAATGAGAAAAGAAAAAATAATATATGTAATTTCACCAAGACCAGAAAAAAATGATGTAAAATGTGAATAAAAAACTAAAATAAAACCATAACAATCACAAGCCAGCAAGAATGAAGTTCAACCAGGAAAACACCCTGAAAAAAATATTTCTACTGGTCATAGAGAAAACCAATGTTAAGAGGTAAACACCACACAAAAGAAGGGATGCTGGCTGAAGAGATGATTTGCTGAGTAAAGCACTTGCCACAAAAACATGAGGGCCTAAGTCTGAATCCCTAAAATCCACATAAAAAGCCAAATAGAGTAGCACAAGTCTCTAATCCCAACACTCATACAGCATGGTAGAATATGGAGACAAGAAAATCCCTTAAACCTGGCAAGGAGCTAGCCTAGTATATGCAGAGACAGAAAAATCCCTTAAACCTGGCAAGGAGCTAGCCTAGTATATGCAGAGACAGAAGAAGTGAGCCTTTTACAAACAAGGTGGAAGGACTAACTCGTGAGATTGTCCTCTGAGCTCCACACATGTACTGTGGTATGAGCACAGCCCCACACATGCATGCACAAATGGCTGCACACACAATACACACACATAAAAAACACACAGAGAGAATTCTTAAAATGAGATAAAGCACTATTAAAAAGTAGTCATGTCAAAAACAAAAAAGCAAGGATGGCCAAAACAATGAAAACAGTGCTGGCAATCACCATCCCCGATTTCAAATTACAGCATAGAGTTATAATAATAAAATAGCATTGTACTTGCATAGAAACAGACATGTTGATCAACAAAAGACCCACGTATAAATCTACACTCCTACAACTAACAGATGTTTTACAAAGAAGACAACACACACACACACACACACACACACACACACACACACACACACTAGAGAAAAGACCTACCCTTCCATTCCTTACCCCCATTTAACCTTTATTCTACGATTCTTCTTTGCTCTTTCATCCCGCCCATCTTCTATCCCCGTCCCTTTAAAATATCTTCCTATGGTCACTTACTAGTTTCCTGACTTTTTTGGGAACTACAATTAGAACATGCACATTAAAAATGCAATGCTAGCATTCACATGTGAGTGAAAATGCATGGCATTTCTTTTTCTGCATCTGGACTACCTCAGCAAGGATAATTATTTCCAGCTCCAACAATTTTTATGAGAATATAGGTGAATTTTCATTATGTATATATATCACACTTGAATTGTCCATTCATTGCTTGATGGACATTTAGACCGCTTTCCTTTCCTGACTAAAGCAATGGTGAACATGGGTCACCAAGTATCCATAGTAGGATGCAAAGTCCTTTGGGAATATGTTCAGGAGTGGTATAGCTGAGTCATATAGCAGATCTATATTTAGCTTTTGTGAGGAAGCACCACACCAATTTTCATAGTGGTTGCATCATTGTGTACTCGCACTACAGTGGATGTATGTTTTCCTTTGTCCACATCCTTACCGGCATTCGTGGTCATTTGTTGTTGAGGCTTTGTTTTCTTTTGTTTTACTTTAGTCATTCTGACTTCAATAAGATAAAATCTCAAGTAGTTTTAATTTTCCATTTCCGTGATAGTTGAGGATGTTGAACTTTCTTAAATTATTTGTCAGCTATATGTATTTCTTCTTTTGAAAATTCTGTGTTTACTTTCATGCCTCAATTTCATTTGGCTGTTTTCATGAAGTTCGGTTCCTTTTAAAGTTTGGTTTTTAAGAGGATGGTCTTCTCATAGAGGTAAGGCTTGGAAAGATTTTCTTCCCATTCTGTATGACAGCTCTCTACTCAAGTGATGGGTGCCCTTTCCCACACAGAAAAAAATTTCATTTCATGAGGTCCCATATATTATCAGTTTTAGTGTCATGCATTATTGGAGTCCCATTCCTAAAGACCTTTATGGTGACAAATGTGCCCAAGGATGTTCCTTACCTTTTCCCCTATGCACTTCAGGGTATAAGGTCCGACGTTGAAATCATTGGTCCATTTGTAGTTAAATTTTGTGCAAGATAAGAGATGAGAATCTATTTTTTTTTCTTTTATGTGTTGCTATCTAGTTTGACTAACATTATTTGTTGAATTCCCCATCAATTCATTTAACCTTATTTCCCTGTCTTTTCAAAACACAGTACATATAGCAATTAAAGAGCATAGATTCTGGAGTCAGGCACCTCAACCCCCCACCAAAAAAGAAAACAATGCACAGAATTAAACGACTTATTCAAGAAAATCCTTGAGACAGTTCCATATAACTGAAGCTGGCCTCAAACTCCCTATGTTTGAACTGCTGATCCTCCTGCCTCACCCCATCAGGTGCTGGGATGACCACGACACTCACTATTTTTTTTTCAGGCTGTCACTGTTTTTTTGGTAGAAATATATAAAGAATATCTGGCTTCATACAGATACATCATTAGAAAAGAATGTAAGATTTTAACAAGTTCCTCAGATTCTTGTGAATAAACTTTTTTTTTATATTACATGGACTATGGAGTATATTTAAGAGTGTGGGGGGTTAATTAAAGTTACACAAATAGGGGAGACAATGGTCACCCCCAAAGTCTTGACTATTTAACAAAAATCCGGTGCCAGGCATGGTAAACTTCCTTTTAAATTTCTGATTAGGGCTATCAAAAGGACCCCCCAAACAATATATACTATAGTTAGTGCTCTTAGTGCCTTACAGAAAAAGAAAGTAAGATTCAATTGCTGAAGACAGAACATACTTTATACACAGGATTTGAAGGAATACATCTAGAACTGAACTGGAAGCCTCCTCAGTGACCTCTAGCAATTGTAGTTTCAGAAGGAATCATACATGCAAGCTACCAACAGATCAGAACAAACAATAGCCCTATACAGTTGTAACACTATGAACAATAACATTGAACAGTATGGCAGAATACTCTTAAAAGTGCAATAATGGCACTAATATCTTTGGAGTAATCAGCAGTCACTTCACATGGCTTAAGACTCACTCAATAGCAGGGAATCCTTGCTTGGCACTGTAAACTTAGCCAATTGCCCATGACTGAGGAGCCCATGGAAGGTAGAGGAGAAGTTACCTAAATCAGTATAATGTCTACTGCATTACAAATCAACATTTGTCCTTATACCCACAAATAAATGTAGCTCCCACCCTCATTAGAGAGCTTCCTTTTGCAGTTGATAGAGATCATTTAGAAAAAAAGCCACAACTGCAAGGAATCCTGTGAAAGAGAGGAGAATATTATAAAAGCCGGAGGTGATGGAGGACACCAAGGAAAGAAGGCTTTCTAAACACGACAGGACCAGTACACATATGAACTCACAGAGAATATGGCGGCATGCACAGGCCCTGCACATGTCTAAGCCAGATGTCTTAGCATTGAGAGGGAAGTGGACACAAGCCCTGATCAATAACCCAGAAGTTGTCCTTTGCTTACATATTATGGTTTCTGATTTTGTGTTTATAGGATATTTCTGTATGTGTATGCAAGTCTCTACATATATGTGTGTTTCTTGTGCTTTTTCTTTGACTCTTTTCCGTTTGCTTGCTTGTTTGGACCTGTTCATGTTTGTTTATTTTTATTTTAACATTTCATTATTTCTTTAGATGCCTGTTTGTTTTTTAATAATGAAGAGCAAGAAAGGATGTGGATTTGAGTGTGTGAAGGGGTGGGGAGGATTTGGGAGTTGAGGGCAAAAGAACCACTAGAATATATTGTATAAAAATAGTTACAATAAAAAAGAAGGAAAAAAGAAAGCCACAACTAGTCAAAATGCAGAGATCATCTGAACATTGGATGTCTAGCCCTAACAGACACATGTGCAGCATAGATGGTATGTTTAAGGCTCAGAAACATCACAGAAGAAGGTAATAAGAGGTTGTAAGTGACAGATGACCCAGACAGCTGCTGGAAGAAAGTTTCTTCTGATAAAAAGCAAGGAAAAAGGAAGACATGATAGGGAGTAAGTGGATCATGGAGGATGAAGAGGAAGAGTGGAGGGTGAATGTGAATATAACCAAGACACATTATATAAAATTCTCTAAATCTCAATAAATATATAAAAGTAAAATATTTATTCCCTTTGTAATGAATGTAATATATCATTGTTGAAAGAAAAAAGGCACTTCTTCACATGCCAGGGACCAAAGCTTGGAGTTAGTACAATTTTCAAAATCCTGCTGTTTGCATTTCATGATTCTCTGTGATCTGTTGAATTTATATCTTGGATTATTCTTTATTGTTTCAGTGGAAGATTCCTTGGGGCTTTATTACTCATTATATTAAAATACAAAATTAATGTTTTCCACTTGTATCTTTTTATATGTTATAATTCTATCTCAGCAGCAAAAATATACTGGAGAGGATATGTAGCTAGTCTTCTTTATGTGAACTATCTTTCCTCAGGCAAAGCACTCTTGGTCCTGCAGACAGGCCATCTTAATGCATGAAATTTTCCTAGAGGAACTCTAATTCCAACCCACATCTCAATACCCATTATACCAATAGTTCAATAAGTACCAAGCAAATGTATACCTGAGAGAGTTCAGAATCTTTCTTTTTAAAATAACACAGTCAGAATTGTAAATACACACAGAGAAAGGGAGATTCTAGGTTTTCCAAATGCTTGTCTATAACTTACACTGAAACTATTATCAAAATAAAATAAAAAAGTTTCTAGCAGGCCATGGTGCCACAGTTTTCCAAGTTCATTATTTGATAGGTAGAGACAGGAGTAGGATCAAAATTCATAGCCATCTTGTTGGGCAGTGGTAACACACAGATTTAATCCCAGTATTTGGGAGGCAGAGGCAGGTGGATCTCTGAGTTGTAGGACAGTCCTATCTACAGAATGAGTTCAAGAATATCCAGAACAACGCAGAGAAACCCTGTCTCAAAAAATAAAAAATAAAATAAAATTCATATCCATCCACCACAAAGAAAGTTTGAGACCAGCATAAAAATATGAGACCATCGTAAAACAAAACAAAAACATCAAATGTCAGTTCATAGAAAAAGTCTAGATACTCCTATGTAAAAGATAAAATTGACTCATAAGATACTGTATTTAAATTTAATAAAAATAAAATCATGATAAAACTGAAAAGAAAGAAACATCATATTCTTATTACAAACCTGTGCTGGCGGTACTTGCAATGGATTGTTATCCAAAATTATTACTTGTAAATGGTGTAGCTTCCTATAGCAAACAGGAATTTCAGTCACTTTATTACAGGAGAAATCCAACTTCACTAAGGGAAGATCTCCTAATTCTGTTCAAAAATGAGACTAAAGTTAAAGATTGTATGGTTACTCTTTTACTCAAGTAAGTAGAAATAGTGAATATCTTACCATCTGGCAAAACATGGAGATTATTTCTTCTTATATTTAGCTCTTTAAGTGAATGTAATTTTCCCATTTGTTGGGGAAGGACCTGAATTTCATTGCAGCTAATATCCTAATGAAAACAAGAAAGTGAAACAATATCAAATTAAGAAATACAAATATACTTTCAATTTTAAAATTTAAGAATATGGATAAATTGTTAGCAAAGTTAATTATAATGTTTTTTTCTGGCAGATTTTTATTTGAATTATATCATAGGCCAATATACCACAGTCAATAAATAATTCCATGAAAAAAATTGATATTAGATTTAGTAAGTACATGAGCAAAACTCTCAACAAAAGAACAACTTTGTCCATTGGAATTAAAAGGAGCCAAATGTTCAAGCATAGATAAAACACTGTAGATAACAACAGCCAACTTAATCTACCATCTACCATAGATCATTTCACATTATTTAGGAGAATAAAACCTAAAGAAAATCAGGAACATCAAGATGTGAATTAGAGAACCAGGATCCATATTCATGGTAAGTTTAAATAAATTACTCTCTACAAAAGAGTAAGAATATAAAACAGTTACAAGCACATATGCATGTAGTCCGAATTCCACTCAAAGATATCTAAAGGAATAAGAATCTGAAGTCTCTCAAGGTTATAAAAAAATATAACCCTGATTTAAAGGCCACTTGTCTAAAGACCTTTTGGTAAAGAGATCATATAGAAAACTACTACTACAGAAACTTTTTAAAATATAGATAAAATCACATGCATATATAAAATGAGTTAAAATGGAGTCACCCAATAATAGGTCAAAAACGCTATTAGATGTAATACATTATTAAATAAAATGTCTAGTGCAAGGAATGGGCCATGTCTTTGAGAATTTTTGAACAATGAGGGCCTAAAGACCCACAAATGTTAACAGCTATTGCTGTTAACTACCCTCAAACACTGACAGTAAGACCTTTTACTGAAGATGGCACCTACTTGAGACACAGGACAAGGAGGAATCAAGCTGGTACTCCCCTGGAAGCTTCCTTCCTACTGGCTAGCTTTCATAGTTCTAAAAGGTACTATGCTTGCTACCAGAAGAGAAAAGTAGGCATAAATAGTATCCAGCTACAAACCCTGTGGACTACCATAATAACTGGCCTGCCGTTGTGCAATAGTGGCACGAACACCATCGGAATAAACTATGAATTTATGGTAGAATTTAATGTTTCCTCCATAAGATGAAACTCATACCTGGCACTATTATCAGACCAGTAACTTGTGGCTAGGCAGGCCATAGCCCCTAGGAGAAAAGCCAACTACTAGTATTCTGCTAGATGGACACAGCATTAAATTGATTTCTTATAATTTATTATTATAAACATAGATTAGTACATCTTTTAACCCTCATCAGAGAAGCTTCTGTTGACAGTGGAGTAAAAACCAAAATCCCTATAACTATCAAGGGTTTAGAGAATATGTAGTTGTGTAATGATTAGTACTAAAGGGAACATGTATACTACACCCTCTCCTTCCAAGGCTGAGAGAACATTGTGGAAGATGGTATAGGATAATTAAGGATGACCACAAGAAAACAGTGTTTTCCAATATAGAAGGGAAGTTGCACATATGAATCCACAGCAAATGTGGCACTGTCCACTAGACCTGTGTAAACTCAAGCAAGATAAATGACTGCATGGAGAGGAGAAATGAACAGGAAGTCCCACCCTTAGTTAAGGTGTGATTGAAAATGATGCTAGTTTACTTTAATTGTATCCTCGAGAACATATGAGTGTAGGTGCTGATTTATTTAAGTGGCACTGAGAGATTTTAACTTCTAAAGATAATTGAACTGTTCAAAATATCCCTGGATTACATGATGTCCAAAAGTAGCTTTCTGCAGAGAACTATGAACTGTGAAAGAAATTAAGCCATTGTAGTCAATTTTTAAAAGACTTTTAATAAACCAGGCAATGGAGGTGCACGCTTTTAAAAACCAGAACTTAGGAGGCAGAAGCAGACAAATCTCTGTGCATTTGAGCTCAGCCTGGTCTACAAGAGCTTGTTCCGTAATAGGCTCCAAAGATAGAAAGAAAAACATGTCTCAAAAAGCAATATAATAAAACCACTTAAAGAAATTCTAACAATAGGAAAATATCAAAAAGAACTGCTTCAACTTTAATGAGTGAAAGTGTACTATGAAAGACCTGTTCGACAAGAACATGGTCTTAGAAGAAAAAAACTGAAGAAAATACTATAAAATGAAAACATCTCCCATGCTCTTGGATAGGTAGAATCAAGAGAATAAAAATGGCAATCTTATCAAAAGCAATCTATAGATTCAATGCAATCCCCATCAAAATCCCAACACAATACTTCATGGACCTTGAAAGAAAAATAATCATCTTCATGTGGAAAAATAAAAAACCAAGGATAGCCAAAACTATCCTGTACGATAAAGAAACATCCAGAGGGATCACAATACCTGATATCAAGCTCCATTATCGAACTAAATTAATGAAAACAGCTTGGTATTAGCATAAAAACAAATAGGTTGACATATGGAATCAAATCAAAGATCCAGATATAAATCCACAAACCTATGAACACCTGATTTTGACAAAGAAGCTAAAATTATACAGTGGAAAAAAGAAAGCATCTTCAACAAATGGTGCTGGTGTAACTGGATGTCAGCATGTAGAAAAATGAAAATAGATCCATATCTATTGTCATGCAAAAAAACTCAAGTCCAAATGAATTAAAGACCTCAATAAAAATTCAACCACACTGAACCTGATAGAAGAGAAAGTGGAAGGTTTTCTTCAATGCATGAGCATAGGAGACCACTTCCTAAATATAACACCAGTAGCATCGACACTGAGAGAAACAACAAATAAATGGGATCTCCTGAAACTGATAAGCTTCTATAAAGCAAAGGACACAGTCAATAAGACAAAAAGGCAGCTTATTGAATGGGAAAAGATCTTCACCAATCCCACATCAGACAAAGGACTGATCTCTAAAATATATGAAGAGCTCAAGAAATTAGACATTAAAATAATAAATAACCCAATTAAAAAATCAGGTATAGAACAAAACAGAGAATTCTCAACAGAAGAAGTTCAAATGACCAAAAAGATACTTAAGGAAATGTTCAACATTCTTAGCCATCAGGGGAATGCAAATCAAAAGAACTCTGAGATAACATCTTACACCTGTCAGAATAGCTAAAATCAATGATATCAATGATACCTTAAGCTGGAGAGGATGAGGAGTAAGGGGATCACTCATCGATTGCTGGTGAGAATGCAAACTTGTACAACCACTTTGGAAATCAGTATAGTGGTTTCTCAGAAAATTGGGAATCAATCTACCCCAAGATCCAGCAATACCACTTTTGCACATATATCCAAAAGATAATCATACTACAAAGGCATTTGTTCAACTAAGTTCATAGCAGCATTATTTGTAATAGTCAGAACCTGGAAACAACCTAGATGCCCCTCAACTAAAGAATGGGTAAAGAAAATGTGGCATATCTACACATTAGAATAATACTCAGTGGTGAAAAACAATGACATTAATTTTGTATAAAAATGGATGCAACTAGAAAACAGTATCCTGAGTGAGGTAACCCAGACCCAAAAGGATGAGTATGGTATGTACTCATTCATAAGAGGATACTAGCTCTAAACAAGGACATTGAGCCTATAGTTCATGATCCTCAAGAAGCTAAGTAATGAGGTAAACCAAAGAAAAACATATATACATCCACCTGGAAACTGAAAACAGACAAGAACACCTGACAAAATTGGGAGAATGGTCTGGGAGCAGAAGGGAGGGTGAAAGGGAAAGAGGATAGGAGAAGGGGAGGGGGAGTGAACTTGAGGGAATGGAATAGTTTAGATGTAGAAAGGACAGATATGTGATCAAGGAAAGAGATGTCTTGATTAAGAGAGCCATTATGGGCCTAGCAAGAAACCTGGCACTAGAGAAATTCCCAGTAATCCACAAGGATGAACCTACCTAAGACCCTAAACAATTGAGGAGAGAGTACCTGAACTAGCCTTGCCCTGTTGTTAGATTAATAAATATCTTAAATCTCACAACAGAACCTTCATCCAGAAACTGATGAAAACAGAGGCAGAGACCGACAGTGGAGGACTGGGCTGAGCTCCCAAAGTCCCAAAAAGTAGGAGGAATGAGAAAATGAGCAAAGAGATCAAGACCATGATGGGGACATCCAGTGAAACAGTTCACTTGAGTTAATGGGAGCTCACCAACTCTAGCTGGTCAGGGAAGGAACCAGCATGATCAAACTAGTCCCTCTGAATGTGGGTGACAGTTGCATAGCTAGAGAAGACTTTGGGGCCACTGGCAGTGGCACCAGGACTTATCCCTACTGCTTATATTGGCTTTTTGGGATCTTATTCTCTTTGGATAGATACCTTGCTCAGCCTAGATATAGTAAGGGAGTGCCTTGTACCATCCCCAAAGCAATGTGCCTTACCCTCTCTGAGGAGTGTATGGGTGGCAGGATTGGGGAATAGGTGGAGGAAATAGGAGGGGAATAAGAGGGAACTGGTATTGGTTGTAATAGGAAAAAAAAATAGTTTATTTTCTCTTTTTAAAAAATACAATAAAAAGAAAGTGTACTATGAATTCTGTTCATCTTGTTGCATGACAAATTTATATGGCTGTTTCATAACATTGTTTATGGACTACTGGTTATTAATGAAATCCTTCATAATTTCATCATTTATATTATACAACAAATGAGACAAAAATTATTAGTAGAAACCACAAACACCACTTACTTTTTTATAAAGAAACATATGTGTGTTGTAATAATCACACAGATACTATATTAATTAACACACTGCTTGGCCCATTAGCTGTAGCTTCTTATTGGCTAACTCTTACATCAATTTATTCTATTTCTATTAATCTATGTATCATCACGAGGTCGTGACCTACCAGCAAAGTTTCAGCATGTCTATTTCCATCCTCTCCATGGTGTCTCTCTGACTCCACCCTTCCTTCTCCTAGCATTCTGTCCAGCTTTCCCTGCCTACCCAAGTTCTGCCTTACTATAGGTCCAAAGCAGTTTCTTTATTCATTAATGGTAATCACAGCACACAGAGGGGACTCCCACATCATATATATGCCATTTTTTCTTAGACTGGAAAGACAGAAATTTAAGCATCATAATGTATTACCAATATTAAATTTTTTCAGACAGATACTATATTTAAAATGCCTTAACTATTGATGAGCCAATGTGAAAAGTTAAAGGAAACCAAGCTTCTGGCATTATAAACATCATGGAATTAAATCACGAGTATACATTAATGCAGAATGTTATTATTGAAACATGCTCTATACTATTTTATTAAAGTTGAGAAATTTTTAGCATCCACTATTTTTCTAGACCTTTCATGTTGTATATCTATGTGTTATTCTAACATTAAAAATTAATGCATTTATATTAATGTTTAACTGAAAATTTCCCTAGAGTTAGCTAATTATAGTCAGTCACTTATTGTATATAAATTTCTGAAGTTTTTCATTTCTTTTACACTGAAACTTACTTATTTTAGTATATTTACTAAATGCTTTTGGGGGTCTTTGTTGTTTATTTTAAAGAGTGTGTTTGCTCAACTGTGCGCCAGGGGAAGACCACTCATCTAAGAATATATGCACCATCAATTGAACTGGATAGGTTTTTAATATTTTTTTAAGATGAAACAATGCTCATTAGGTAGGGAATCCAGGTATATTTGTGGGTGTCAGGGGGAAGATGGGAGAAGTGATGAATATTACTAAAATATATTATAAAATATTTTCCAAGAACTGAAAAATATGATTTAAAAGAAAATTATACAAACTGTGGAACTAAGCACCTGTTAATATTTGGTTCTCAAATTCTAATGCTTAATCACATTAATAAATCAACATAGTTTGATTTAAATAACTGGAATACACAAAAAAGAAAGTCATTGAAATAAATAAAGGTAATAAGAATGTTTCATCTTACAAAAACAGACCTTAAAATTTCAGTAGGTAACAAGGATTTGAGGGATGAGAAGTTGTGCATTTTTTTTCACGGAATGGTCAAGGTCAATAGATAAAGCCAGCAGGGGCATTATTTTGATTGAAAATAATAGAAATTATTAACCAATAGAATTCAAAAAAAAAGGAGAATAGGGAAGGCTCAAATATACCCAGAGAGCTGTCTATTTTGGAAATACACAGGTAGATATATTAGTTTCCTACATTCAGAAGTGACTGTCCTTGATCATTTCTAAGATCTTTTCTAACCCCAAACTTCTATGGCTCTAAAGCACAAAGAGAAACTGAACATGAAGTGATTTCTTAGCAAATAGACACAATCTTGACATTTCTGATATTGTACATTGCTAGAATATGTTCCCATTATAAAATCATAAATAAGCTTAAAAATAAAACTTCTGGTCCTTTAGAGATAATAAAATCCTCCTTAAGAAAATTCATAAAGCACCATTTTTTGAAAAGCTTTACCTTAATACAAAACAGGATATAAAAATAAATAGCATGTCACAGTGTAAAACTGAAGTGATACAAATATATGAAAACATTTCAATGCTTAAGCACTCTGTTTTCCTCTAGACATTCAATGTCCTTTAAAAATCTAAAATGTTATTATTCAGAGGCATTATATCAATTTCCACAATCAATTGTATATAATTGCCTATTTACATTTACTTTGGCCCTAAAAGGGTTATAAAGTCATGTGAGCATATTAATTGACTTATAATTATGTTATCTTGTTAATACTACTTCTGTTTATGGCTAGAAACCAATTATGAGTGAGTACATCCCATGTTCATCTTTTTGGGTCTGGGATACCTCACTCAGGATAGTGTTTTCTATTTCCATCCATTTGCATGCAAAATTCGAGAAGTCATTGTTTTTTACCGCAGCGTAGTACTCTAATGTGTATATATTCCATACTTTCTTCATCCATTCTTCCATTGAAGGGTATCTAGGTTGTTTCCAGGTTCTGGCTATTACAAATAATACTGCTATGAACATAGTTGAACAAATGCTTTTGTCATATGATAGGGCATCTCTTGGGTATATTCCCAAGAGTGGTATTGCTGGGTCCAGGGATAGGTTGATCCCGAATTTCCTGAGAAACCGAAACACTGACTTCCACAGTGGTTGAGACCTGACCCTAGAGGGGCTCCCAGGTGCCCAAGGCGAAGTCCCCAGTTAGTTCCTTGGGCAGCTGAGGATAGGGAACCTGAAATGACCCTATCCTAGAGCAATAATGACGAATATCTTGCATATCATCATAGAACCTTCATCTGGTGATGGATGGAGATAGAGACAGAGACCCACACTGGAGCACTGGACTGAGTTCCCGAGGTCCCAATGAGGAGCAGAAGGAGGGAGAACATGAGCAAAGAAGTCGGGACCACGAGGGGTGCACCCACCCACTGAGACAGTGGAGCTGATCTATTGGGAGCTCACCAAGGCCAGCTGGACTATGACTGAAAAAGCATGGGACAAAACTGGACTCTCTGAACATGGCGAACAATGAGGGCTGATGAGGTGCAAAAGACAATGGCACGGGGTTTTGATCCTGCTTAATGTGCTGGCTTTGTGGGAGCATAACCAGTTTGGATGTTCACCTTCCTAGATATGGATGGAGGGGGGAGGACCTAGGACTTACCACAGGGCAGAAAACCCTGACTTCTCTTTGGACTGGAGAGGGAGGGGGGAAGGAGTGGGGGAGGGGGAGAAGGGTGGGAGGAGGGGGAGGGAAATGGGAGGCTGGGAGGAGGTGGAAACTTGTTTTTTTTTCTCCTTTTCTCAATAAAAAAAAATGAAAATAGGTGTTTTGAATATCTTTAAAAAAATACTACTTCTGTTTGTGATCCTCCTACATTTTGCCTTTTAAAAACTGATTATTTGTTCATTTGTTTGTTTGTTTTGATGAAATGAGGTCTCAATAATGTAACCACTACTAAGTTCAAATGATTGTCTTACCTTCCCCCAGAGTAGCTGAGAATAATGGCATGAACCACCAGCACACAAAGCTGCGTTCTCCACTTTTACCATTCTGTTCTAACTCTCCGCATCAGCTCCATAAAACATTAGGAAAAAACATCATTTTCTTAAGAACTTCTCTGGCTTCAAAGTCAAGGGATAAATAGCTCTTCACTTGATACATATTCTGAAAGCTTGTAACCAAGTCTCCTAAAGCATCCTTGTCTGAGGAATTACCGAACTTTTCCTGTGTGTGCTAGGAGCTAAATTCAGCCATAAATAAATGTAGCTGAAATTGTTATCCAACTGAATTTAGACATATACCAAGTTATTCTCTTTTAAAAAAATACAGTGAAATTCTACAAAGGAATGACTATAACTCTAAAATAAAATGTATATATTAAATGTGGCATATAAACTTATAATTATTATTATACTCACCAGCTCCATCAAATCTTTTAACTTTCCAATTTCTTCTGGGATGGATACCAGCTTATTATTGCTGACAACCAAAACTTTAAGTGGAAGGTCAAATAAGTATTTTGGCAATGTTGATAAAAGATTTCGACTGAAAGAAATTAAGAAAATCTCATTATGAAAAATGTCTGAATCTTTATGTTAGGCTAAAAAAGTACATAGCACATCAACAGTAAATAATAAGCATTCACTAAAAAGTACCATTTATTGAGTATTTCACTTCAAACAAGAACATGTAACTTACGTTCATACACTGGCTAATATTCACATTAACCTAAGATAGGAGTATTAGCTTCAATATACAAATATGAAAATGAAGGCTAAAGCTCCCTAAGTGGCTTGTCTATTGTAACAGACACGCACACACAAATCTGATAGCAAAAATTCTGCTATTACATATGGTAATGCTCATAAGTAGCCCATGCAATAATAACTCAGGTTTTTTCTGAGCTAGAGAATTCCAGAATTTTCTGGGGCATATTTTAGCACACCTGATACCTTTATAAGTCTAACCATGGAGAGGACCTTGGCTGAAATTTGCGGACATTGTGCTTAAAATGATGTAAAAAATCTATCTTTTAAAATATCAGTAACTTGAAGCATGGAGAGATAGCTCAGCAGTTATGGACATGGACTGCTGTTGAAACCCACCCAAATTTTGTTCCCAGCACCTGCATGGGGGCAGTTCACCATCTCCTGTAACTCCAGCTCCAGGGAATCTGACACCATCTTCTGGCCTCCACAAGTACTGCACTCATATGCACACTCACATACACATGTGTGACCCACTCATACATACAATTAAAGATAAAATAAATCCTTAACAATAGTAGGAGTTTTTAGATAGTTTGCATCAGAACAACAGGGTCGAGCACTTCTATTTCAGTCTAACATTAATGAAATATTCCTTAGAGTCCATTTAAATACAGTAACAAATAACATTTTATTGATTAATTACAATCTGCCAGTAAAAGTTCAGAATAAAATCAACTGTTCATCACAGCAACCTACTTTAGGTAAACACTCATCGTGAACCCCATTTTAAAAAGGAAAATAAATCACAATGACAGTAAGTAAAATGTTCTAATGTTACAAAGTTGGTAAGCAGGAAAGCCTGTATTGAAATCTGGTTAATCTAGATTTGGTATCCTTACACTTCACATTCTATACTCAAATGTCAAATTTAGATGGATTGACCCAAAATATCTCAAAATCAAAAATATAGAGAAGAAAACATTCCAATTACATACTAGTAAGCACTGACAAGGAATAAGATATCATTGTTTTCCTATTTTTTCAATTTAGCATTTAGAGACATGTACCTAGCGTTTTATGTAATGTATACAGGAACAAAAGATCTATGTTACTCAAGCAAGAATAACATAAGATCTTCCATCCCATCTTATCTTTGCAGAGAATTTCCATAAATACTAGGCTGGGTTTAAAGTACTATGTGTGTGTGTGTGTGTGTGTGTGTGTGTCTGTGTGTGTGTGTCCGTCCTTGTGTGTGTCTGTGCATCTGTGTGTGTGTGTGTAACAAAAGAGAAGGACACTATTCTTCAATTAGTAAACCTCAAAGAACTTCTGAAATGTCTAATTTCCTATGTCCCAGTCACAATCCTCCATACACTCTGCTTTTTTATGTAAGGGAATTGAATATTGACAAACATTAGTATTTTGGGGAATGTCATTCTCTCACAGCCATCAAAGAACAACTGTATGAATACATGTTTTTTTTTTCTGGAAACAGATTAATCCAGTTTTTTCATATGGAATAAAAGAATAATATGATCTATGTCAAAATGATGTTGGAATATTAAAAGAAGTAATATGGGTCAAACACTTGTAATATTGCCTAGTACATAGTAAAGCCATATTAAGCATAAAATGGCTAGGGATGCCATCCAGTGATAAAATGCTTGCCTAGCATGGACAACACCCTGGATTGATCCCCATCATTGAAAGAAAGAAAAAACTACGTTAAGTTAAAAGATGCTCTGTCACCTCCAAACATTCGAACCTTCCATTCCAATTTGCCCATTTTTGAACTGGCAACACATCACATCACACGATAAAACTTTACTTGATGTTTCATTATAATGTTTGACTAGTGTAACTAGACTGCCATATAAATGAATTCAGAAAACTGGGCAACAAATAAGAAAAATATTTATGTTCTATATCCTTCCTCTCAAAGTGAGATCTAATGATCAACACACATGCAGGTAAATTACCAGGGGACCTTTTAGAAAATGCAGGTCCCTCAGCAGACCTAACAAGATCCCCAGATAATTCCTGTGTATGAAACTTTGAGAAACATTGCCTTAAATAACAAGACCAAAAGCTTATAGAACAATGAGAACATAAACAAAATACAATCTTTTATTATTAAAAGTGATTAAAGATTTAAGAAAATGCAAAAAAGTTTTAATAAAGATTTATATTATTATTACTAATATTATTAATTATTACTAATTGGTATTGAGTGTTTTACTGCATGTATGTATGTATTATGTGTATTCCTAGTGCTTGAGGAGGTTAGAAAAGGTCTTTGGATCCTGGGAAACTGTTGCTAAAGGTGGTTATGAGCCAACAAGAGGGTGCTGGGCATCAAACCCTGGTCCTCCAAAACCAATAGCCTGTTCTAGTAACGGCTGAGCCATCTTTCTAGACCCTGAAAAATTGTATTTTTTAAAAATTGTTTGCTTACCTAATGTTAAGGTATGTTAACATCTGCAAATTCTTAATGGCTTCAGGAATTGTTTTGATACAATTATGATATAGGTTTAAAATTTCAAGAGGTGCAAATAACCATACATCTGAAGGAATTTCTGTAAAGCGATTTCTGGAAAGATCTGAAAAATAAAAACAATTTTGAGTAGCAAGTATACACCTGTTTATACAGTAATTAACAGAACGACTTTCACTCAGAATCTAAGTAACTACTGCATATATTGTAAAATATTATTTACCAGCATCTTGAAAAACTATTTTAATATAGTGTTATAAAATGTTTACTAATTAATTTATTTTAAAATCATTTTAACAAAATAAGCTACTAAATGTATTGAAAATGCAAATATGCTATTTATCTTTAAATATATCAATAGTGGGAGGCATAATTTAGTGGCATTTTACTTGGCTAGTATTTAAAAGGCCATGGATACATAACATGGGTACATAACGATATACACACAACATACAAAAAGAAAAAAAAAAGAAAGTTTTGAAAAAAATTAGTACATCACATGATGGACTAAAAAAAAATAATAACCAGAAAGAGTTTCTTTCTCCATATCAATAGTATAGACCCTTTTGGATAAGAATCTGTTTATGGAGATTATGTTGAGCATTAAGATAGTAGCTATCCACTCTCTAGCCATGACTGCCAAACAAACAAAACAAATAAACAAAAAACCGTAAAATACAAGTGGTTCTCAACTACCTAAATAATTATCAAATTAATTACCTTATGGAACTATCATTGTTTATACTAGTTTATTATACTTAATTGACTTAAAAGATAATAATCTTCAGAAAAGGATTATCTGTATCAGGGAGAACATCTACAGTCTAGCCTGGCCCACCATCTGTTCTGTTCTCAGTAGGAAAACAATCTCCTATTAATAGTGTTCAACATCCTCACTGCTAAAAAAGAAAGCTATTTATTCATCAAGAGAGTGAATTCCCTCTTTAGAACATCAATATGTATGTGTTAATACAAATGAATACAGAAAATGGAGGGAGAGGTAAAGAGCTGATTCACATTCTCATCTAATATAAAATTTTGTAATTAGCAAAGGAAACATAAACTATAAATCTCTAACTCTATAATACAAAAATTTATTTAAGTTAATTTCACGAATATTATTGATAACTTAATGAAATTATGGAATTACTAGAAAACAAAATCTGAACACTATCAGAATACCCAAGTGTGACGTGAAGAGAGAATATGAAGTCATCATTTTTCTATATTTATGGTTTCCCTCTTATTCTTTTCTCTTTTGTTCAAGGCAGGGATTCTCTGTGAAACAGTTCTGGAACTTATTTTGTAGACCAGACTGGCCTCAAACTCACAGAAATCCTCTTGTCCCTGCCTCCCTATTGCTTAAATTAAAGGTGTGTGCTAGCACACACATCTTTTCTTATTCTTCTACTTTCAGAATATTAGAAGTTAAAGTTACTCCTTACAATTAATTTTAAATTTTAATAATAGTATTATGCTTAGTACACTCTTCTAGACAGATTCATGTGTGAATTACTAATAAATAATTCAATGGTCCCAGAGAGAAGTATAGATATTTTGAAACAAGATAACAAAACTAGAAAAAAAGAAAATGGATAGAATTTAAAATATATTTAACACTGTCACATAATAGAGAAGAATAAGGGATGGGCTATATGGACTATGTAAGAAGTAAGAATCAAAGATAGCCAGAGGACTCTAGCCTAGCCTTTTATTGATGTTACCTAAAATCAATGGGAGTGGAACCAGATTTTTGTTACTACTGCTAAAGATGGGATATTTTTCTTTTTGAAGAAAAGATATAATTAAATTTATCTGATGATTATTAATCTCAAACATGATGTCTCAAATGAATAAATAAAATTAGAAGTTATAGAAATAACATTACTGCTACAAAATCATAGAAACAGAAAATGTCACTTAACCAGAATATTAAGAGAGATCAAGAATGGCCATCAGCTAGTGGGGGTGTGCACATATTTAATCACAGTATAGCATTACATGGCATGACAAGATGCAATAAAACTAGGCACAAATCCTCCTATTAAAGCTGGAAAAGAAAACACAATAGGAGGAAAGGGGTCCACAGAGTAAGAACAGGAGTTAGAGACAGCCCCACTCCCTGATGTGGGAGTCCCATCTGTGCTTTGCTTCTATTGGTTAATGAATAAAGAAACTGCTGTGGCCTAGTTGATAGAGTGGATCTTAGGTAGGTGGAGAAGACAGAACTGAATTCTGGGAGGAAGAAAGCAGTGTCAGAGAGAAGCCATGGATCCTCCGCCTGAGACAGACACCTATTAGAATCTTTCCCAGTAAGCCACTGCCACATGATGATATACAGATTAATAGAAATGGATTAAATCATATGTGAGAATTAGCCAATAGGGTGCTGAGATAATGAACCAAGCAGTGATTTAATTAATACAATTTCTGTGTGGTTATTTTGGGGCTAAGCTAGCTGGGCAGCTGGGACAAACCAACAGACTTCCAAGCAGCTCAGAGGCACAAGTGTGCCCTCCTCATTGTAACAACTCCCACTGTTAGGAGTCTCACAAGCACCCCAAGCTAAACAACTACAGCATCTATGGAGAGGACCTAGTGTAGATCCATGCAGGCTCTGTGACTGCTTCTTTCATCTCTTTTTTTTTTAAAAAATATATTTATTTATTTATTATGTATACAATATTCTGTCTGTGTGGATGCCTGATGGTCAGAAGAGGGCACCAGATCCCATTACAGATGGTTGTGAGCCACCATGTGGTTGCTGGGAATTGAACTCAGGACCTTTGGAAGAGCGGGCAAGGCTCTTAACCTCTGAGCCATCTCTCCAGCCACCTTCCACCTCTTTGAGCCCATAAGGCTGGCTGGTCTAGTGTATATCTTCAGTTCTAGAAATCTTAGGTGAGGTGGAGACAGAAACAAGAGAGCCCCAGGCACTTGCAGGCCAGATACCCTGGAGTAAGCCACAGGAACTATAAGTAATCTTGTCTCAAGTACGGGGAAAAGTGTGATTCAACACCTGAGGTTATCCTGTGACAGACATACACATACACTGTGACACGTGTGCCTGCAATCACATGAAAATGTACATACACACACATGCTCACAATATAAAAACAGAAAAATAAAATAAAAACGGACAAAAAACGTTCTAGAAAAGCCCAGCAGTGGTGGCACACAGCTTTAATCTCAGAACCTAGGAGGTGGAGGCAGTTCAATCTTTAAGGCCACCCTGGTCTACAAAGTGAGTTCCAAGACAGCCAAGGCTACACAGAGAAAACTTATCCAGAAAAAAAAAAGGAAAAAACCAAGCATCTATGAAAATTCTCAATGGAAAAGGTAAAAACCACAAAATATCTCAAATGTAACAAGGAAAAATATTACTACTAATAATTAATAACAATGATTTTATTGAGATAATCTTAATATACTATTTTAATAACATATGTTCTTGCTTTCAAATATGGTAAATTACAAACAGAATAATCTCCCATTGAATTTTAGTTAAATTTATATTCATAAACTATTATCTGAATCTATTCCTGTTTGTTTACTAAAAGACAGTAAAATTACAGGAATTATTATTCTAACTGAATGGAACTAAAACAAAGCATAACAAAGTCAAAATTAGAACTTCAACTATGACATAAACCCTAATTAAGGAAATCTACTTCTAGGGTGTTTCTGATTGTAAATTAGTATAAATAAACATACTTTTTAAGAGCTGGGGGGGCAGAATAACATTGCCAAAAGAATTCAACAACTACAGAAAGAAGCAGAGGAAGTAACATTAAGGAATTTACCTCTTAATTTTGTGAACTATTAATAAATCACCAGAATTTCTTTTTCTTATATAAAAACCCCTCATTTTTATTATTAATTTTTGTGCATGTGTGTGCCTTTATGACTTTGTGATTTTATATGTACTGTAGTACATGGGTACTTTATAAAGCTCGGCAGGGTCATTGTATCCCCTAGATCTGGTGTTTTAGCATCTCTCAAGTATGGCATCCAGGAACCAAGTTTGGTCCTTTGCAATTACATCGGCACTTTTAATGGCTGAGGCATTTCTCTAGCCTCAGATTTTACTACTTGTAAGTATCATCAGTTTAGGGATGAATCAAGTCTGCAGAGTGCAAAGACTATACTGCCTACTGGAAGAAAATCTGTGATCTAACGTTCAAGAATCTCATTATCATATATTAAGATAAATATTTATACATACAGCCATTTTTGAATGTGGAATCTTTAGTTGTTTTTCATATGTCACATTAAAAAATAAAATGAATTTATGAAGATAAAAAAATAAAAAATAAAAAAAATTGTGAACTATTTCACACTACCCACATGTCATGCTTAGCTTGAAAAGAGTAAAAATAAACTTACAGAGATGTAATACATAAAACTAAATTGAGATAAAATTTTTATCTTGTGATAGAAAACCTAATAAAAGAGCTTTATAATATTAAAAAATTATTTAATCACTATTTATATTCAGGAAAGTGGTACAACACAATAATGAACATATGATTCTCAAGAAATATACATAAACTTAGTGCTACAAAGAGAGTTTCAGTAAAATAAATAAACAGATAAATAAGTAAAGATTTCAAGAAGACCAGGAAAACAAGCTATTAATATGTTCCTTACTGAGATTCATTTTATAGCACTTTCAAAATGTACCTCCTCAGGAACAATAAGGGCTTGGGAAAAAACAATTATAAAAATGTTCATCTTTTCAAGATTAAAATTCATCATCTTTCAATTATGAACTGAATGGTGGGATCTCAAACCTAGTCCAATTACAGAACCTGTGTTACCTTGTAAGATAAATATTTTGCAAATGTAATTAATAATCTTGCCATATGGACATATTGTGGATCATCTAGGTGAGCCCTATATGTAATTACATGTGTCTTTGAAAGAAAAAAGGCAGAGCATGCTTAGATCAATGATACAAATCTGTAACCCGAACATTCTAAAACCTGAGGCAGGAGGATATCATGTTTGAGACAAGCCTGAACTAGATATTGATACTACATCTCACAGAACTGGAAAATGGGAAAATATACAGATATATGGGAGGGAAATCCACAAGAAGAGAGG